TCATGTGCATAAAATCGCCAAAACATTTTCCAACCTGCCAATGCTAGCTTGCACGCGCGTCGGTCGATGGAGAAACAGCTCAGAAGCCAGCATAGCACCAATAGTGTGTGCTGCAGTGCGAAACCGAGTTTTGTACTGTAACATATATCCGTGACTTGCACCCGAAGCGGGGCAACACCTGGTAAGCGCAGGCTGGCTACCAAGACCAGGTCAACTTTGGACTTGTGCCTCAGCATATGTACAAGCGAAGACTGCACGAAGGCAAGTATCCGCAAGGTATAGATGGCAGCAAAGACATTGAGCAGGAGCTGGAGCGTAACAGCAGGGCTGCTCCGGTTAAGTGGATGTGCCGCGGTAACAGTAGTAGTAGTAGTAGTAGTAGTAGTAGTAGTAGTAGTAGTAGTAGTAGTAGTAGTAGTAATAGTAGTAGTAGTAGTAGCAGTAGTAGTAGTAGTAGCAGTAGCAATGGCCATAGCAGTAGTAGTAATATCATAATGACAGCAGCAGCAGCAGCAGGAGGAGGAGGAGGAGTAGTAGTAGTAGTCGTAGTCGTAGTAGCAGCAGAAGCAGTGGTAGTAGTAGTCCTAGTGGCATCACAATTGGCAGGACAAGGCTCTGGCATGCTTTGGCTTCTAGGATGTTTTCCCCGGCCGATTTCGAAATCCCCTTTCCGCTGATTCACTCTCGACAAGCAAACGGGAATGCAACTCTGATGCAGTCCTTCAATCCTCAACCTCGTGGCTGAGTCCGCGCTCAAACAAAACAAGCTCGCAACTCCCGATGCTCCAGAAAAGCTAAAGCTCATGCACATTCGAGGTCACTTTGATCTCTGTGCCATCAGGCTGCTGCCGTCGATTGCGGAAATACCTAGCCGGGTGCAAGAGCGGACTCGAAGATCAGAAGTTTGTTCACTTAGCTCGAAATGCGACAATGGGGAGTCTGAGCTTCGAACCTAAGCCTTAAGCGGGCTCTTCTGGCTGTTTGTTGGGTCTCGGATTGAGGATCGGCCTGACAGGGATGCATGGTCTAAACTAGGTTTTCATCCAAAACATTGGCTTGTGACCAACCGATTCTGGACGTGGGCAATGTGTCTGCAAAGCCTTCGCAGAAGTTCAAGGGCTTTTCATAACAGCTGCCGGAGCCGAGCCACAGTTTCAGCTCGCGACAACTGCCCCCATTAGCATACTGCCGAAATGATGTCAATGGAGCAAGGTACTGCCACCATCCTGAAAACATTCTCAGCCGCGACAATCGCCGACCGTATACTCCACGTATACCTACCTCTACTACTTCCACCGAAAAATGAAGTCAATCAGCCCAGATTCGTGTGTGTGCCGTCTTTTTCTCTGTTGTTTGTACACCCCGTTGTCTTCTATTGCTGTAATGATGATGACGACAATCACTCTGCACAGGCACGGGACTGCTCTCACAACGACTTCTCTTTGGCATCGAGCATGGCCAAGCGGTGGGCGAAGACGAGGAACCAGACCTGGATTCAGCGGTTCAAACGGTCTGCAAAACGTGTTCGACTTTGGAGACTCGAGCTTGTGGTTCCTTGAGGAAATGCACTTGGTGGTTGAGGCTTTTGGCGCCGAGTTCGGGCTTTGTCGAGGTTTAGCCGTACCGCAACTACCGCACCCTTCCAACGTAACACCTTAACACCGCTGCTGGGATTGCACGTCTCTATGATCTTCAGATCCGTGGATCCATAGATCACCGGATGACAAATTGTGGGTTCAGGAAGGGTTTCTGTTTGCGGTGATGTCCTCTTTGCTGCAAAAATGCGGCATCTCAACGATTAGGTGGATACTGTCAACTCCGACTGCGATAGTGTAAATGACGAGGCCTGAAAGGCACTAGGCCTTGCACCTCAATATTCAACTCGTGGCCCAAAGCACGCATCAGCCGCTAGCCGAATATCCTCCTGCCTCGCCAACACAACTGCTTGGTGCTATCGAAGGCTTGTCTTGCCTCCGACGTCAACTTTAAACACCGGCACGGGCTGAATGAGAGAAGTGCCGGGCATCGCACGCTTGCAGCCAGCAGGACAAATTTTCTGCCACCGAGGCTTTCTTCGCTTTCGCCAATCTGCAGGCGAGGTGCTGGCTGATGGAGGTGTGGGACTGAAGGGCCAAATCTTCAGGTTCTTGGGTAAAGTTTGTGCTCTGAGCGTCGGGTCAAGTCCACAGCACAGATCGTCGTGAGAATTCAGCTATGCCGTGAATCCAACAAGGCATGCTGAAGGCTTAGAGGGCTGGCCGGTCCAATCCCGCACAGTTCGATGGTCAGGCATGCAACGCCAGCAGCTCGTGCACAAAAATGTGCTCGACACTCGAACGCCTACCTACAGCAAACCATCCGGACGCCCAACCCCAATCCTACACCGAGCAACTTCTGACAACCTAAGCAAAATTGGCGGTCTGTGAACCCAGAGCCCTTGACACTGTCACCGACGAAGCCGTTCACTGCTACACATCGAAGCCTCGAATAAGGCCTCACATGCAGCGTTTCCAAAACATACATCCGAAAAAGAAAATCAGTCCATGAAACCTTAAAGCGCAAAGATCTTGGAATACCTTGACCTAACTATGAACGTTTTGTGAGTGGCAGCTAGGCCTCTGCCACGCCTGCTCCACAGGCTCCTGCACCGCACGAGACTATACCCACATTGTCTATGGAACCGTTGCACATCAAATTGCATGATTGCAAGGCATGCATGAGTTGCTAACTGCTACATACTGACCAACTCCTTCGCCAAGAAAGGAGACCCCTTCTGGAATTCCTGCTACGAATCTACTGAGCTTTGCAACTTAAGCTCCTGAACGAAGCTTTGCAAAGAGCCGTGAATCCCAAAGCGTTCTCGCTGCGGCATCAGATTTAAGTACAAACAAACCATGCAAGGTCGAGTCTGGCACGACGTAGTCCAAATCATGTTGGTAAGTCTGCTCTTTCATGAGACTACTGCGGAGTATTGTCCAGAAGAGTAGAAACAATTGAGGAACTTGAGACGGGAGAATCCAGTCGGGGATGCTTCCCACCGCTCCCAGCTCCACCAGTCCTAACATTATTCTTCTTTCCTGCTTGATCATCGCGTTCCTACTTAACAGCGGCGTGCGGGCTCCTCGCGAGCAGTTGAACTTGCAGTGCGGGCAGCAGGCCCTAGCTCCTGCCGAGCGTGGGAGACTGCAGCGAGGAGTCTCCAAGGAAGCCACCACTGCAAAGCCCGAAGGCCTCAAAACACGGCGTCTTGCCAGTCTTTTCTCTTCACAGTTGAAGTGAAGTGACTGTCAGTATCGCCACTGTACGTGATGGGCCGCGATGGCTACTGAACACGGCCTCTGAATCTCGCAACCCTGAGCTGCAAGTCACCAGGTCACTGAAGCGGAACACCCAAGCCTGAAACTCAATGTGAACCAACTCAACATGCCCGGTTTGCGGCACCGAAGCCAACAACACAAGAAGACACGAAAGGCCAATTCCCGCGAGCCTGAACCGCAGAAAGACCTTCAAGCCGTGAGCACGCTCTCCCCGAAGGTCCAAAAGCACTCTCCGCCGTCGATTCTTCGGCAGCTGAGGAAGCGTCTCCACCTTTGCGATGCGCAGATGCAGACAAACCTTGCAGGAACCTCTTTTGGGTCAACGCCCTCTCTATTGATACTGCACGTGGTATTGGCGTGTGTCCGGGCGAGATCCTCGTGTGCCTGATTCTGATAGGCGGGAAAACCGGGCTGTATGATGACGTTCAATGCCACAGGCCAGCTGTTTGTCAAAGGTACCTCCAGACAAAGGCACGTCATGGATTCATGGATGGCGGTTCCAGGTGACTGACCGTCAGCTGTTACAGGCTTCCATGCCATTGGAGAAGATTCCGGCCTCCGCCTTTAGATGTGATCCCGCAGTTTCACTAACGAAGCGCCCATGCACCACAAAATTCCCACCCGAAGCACCGGCACAGTTCAGCCATGAAGGGAGTGAAGCTCTTGATATGCACAGGCATACGTTGGACTCCGAAATCAAACTCTACAGAGTTGCACGTTGAGGTGAGGCTACAGGCCGCTGGCCAACAGCAGACGGACTGTTCGGCTCGGCTTACCGTGAGGGCTCCTTGATGGTTTGGACTGCTCATCACGCTGTGCACGATGCTGTTGAAAGCAAATTACGAAGGTAGTCTAAGGCTCCGAACACCAAGAAGTGGCATCCACCAACACCCGACAAACGGATACACTAAGTGACCCAAGCCTCTGTGACGCCTAATGTCGCCACCCAGATTTACCTGTTGCATGCAGTAACAACAGGATTTCAGTGAGCGCCCTAGGCACAAAAACGGCGGACTACCCTTGGAGGAACAGGACAAGAAAGGCCGTGTGGATTTCTGGAACAGGGCCTTCTCAAATCCAGATACTCCATTCAGGAATATCGAAGCACAACTTCACTCTGCGAAAACCATCCAAATCGGAAGGCACTTACATACATCCTCTTACACATCAGCATCCCGAAGAAATAAGCAGAGCAGAAAACCATCCAAGCTCCAAAACTCGGGCCCCAACGAAGCGCCGTCTCTCGCCTAAACACTCTCACTCCCTCCCCAAGCCATGCCACCTCCGTCAAGACCTAGGCCTGATACGGACGTTCCGAAGCCAGCGTAACCACAGAAGTAAAGTCTGGAAGCCTGCGACAACTGTGGCGCTGTGGATCGCTCCGGCCTGCGCCGGCAGCGAAGCTGACAGAGGGAGCTCTCCCTGAGGTCTTATACCACCAAATTTCTGCTTCGGATGCTTAAGATTTGTCAACTGGTGTTTTTCAATTTTCGCCCACTTCGCCAGGTTAACATTAATGACTGCAAAGACACATCACAAAGCACAAGGTACGAACGGATGAGCAAATCGCTCGAGCCGGCAATTACTGCAGGTGGCTTAGCTGGACGTGAGGCTCCGTGAGAGAGTAGGTTCGGTTCTCATGATAGCTCTCGAAGCTTGCCTGTGTCAGCCACTGGCACGGGCTCACTGAAGTGTCTCCTCACCAGGGTTCACGGATTCAGGAATGCAGAGGACTTCCCGGCTGCTAGCAAGAAGTTCCAGTAGGTCAAGGACATCAGTGATTCCTTTCGAAGCTGCACGGCAGCACCTTGCTCGGATATCCAATTCCCCTACCCGGGCCTTCTCGGCCATTACTATACTTCGCACTGCAGTTAATACTGGGATATGATCCGGTCGACCCTACACAATCGCGCTACAGCAGAAAACTTGTCACATCTTGTCACTCACACACTTAGAACGTGCAACTCACACTATCCAAGCCTTAGCCATTTGGTCAAGTGATCGCCGAAGGCGAAGAACTTCGAGATGCCAAAGCCTGGAAGCCACAGTCCGCTGAAGTTAAAAGGTGATCAAACGAAATAAAATACCAAGTTGGACCATGTTTAGACAAAACGTTGTGCACGCTCGAAGTGCATCACGGAATACCCTATGCAGAAAGTGCGGACACCTCTCAGGCTCTGCGGCGTCGTGGCTTGCGCTTGCAGCCTGACGGTCGCCCCAACCCCCGGCACATGGTCAAGAGCCCTGCGTGACCACCTTTAGGTTGAACGCATCAAGAATCTGCTTCCCTGGCATGTTCATTCCGCGACTCGCAATGTTCCACATACTGCTCCCGCTAAAATCCACTGGGGCAAGTTGCAGTGGACAGCTCATACCCCTCTAAAAAGTTGATGCCTCTTTTCTCATTAAGATTCTAGAACTGACATGGCAGTGATGGCATTCCTTTTGGATCAACTTGCCCTGCTGGCTGAACGATGTTTGATCTGCAGCTTAGTTGGGTGTGGCGCAGTAAGGGTGCACTCATCAATCTCCATGGTGGGCAGCTGAGACAGTGGCTGCCGAGCAGGAACTGCCTTCCTGATGTCAGGGGCAAGCGGCGCTACTTCCACGGGCTTATTAACCTCGACTTTGTATCCGGCGAAAACATGAAACAGCTTGCGAGCTTGATGATGCATTGGATGCATTGTTCATCATGGACCCAGCCTGCGGAATGTCCGACGACCACTCCGGTCGCACATCACCATGAAGTTCTGCCTCATGCTGCAATAGCGACGACAGCAAACAATTCCGCATGACCATATGCTTCTGTCCTTGACGCCCACACTCTGGATTTCAGACGTTTAATTTACAGTCGAAGCGCGGGCAATCGCAAACCTGCTCGTGTCACGCGAGATTCACCCACTGTCTGTCCCCAAAATGCAATCTTCGTCGTGATCATATGAGCTGCAGTCCGGAGCATGAAGCTTCTGCTAGCACAGGCCGGAAGAACTCTGGAGACGTGCAAATCGCGGCTGGGCTGCTAAGAGTGCAATGGCCTCCAAGTCTCCAGCTGTGGAGCTCCGCCTGCCCAGGATCTCTGCGTGGCCGTGACAAGCGAGCTGTCAGATCCTGTTCCCGAGGCTACGGCCTTCCGGTGGCGGTGCTTCCTTCCGGTTGCACAGCAGCACATTATCACATTGACATGCTTGCAGGCAAGGGCCAAACTACGTCGCTCCCTTGCCTCGCAAGTCGAGCATCAAAGCCGCAGCTTCAGCATCCACCTCGGCCCTCTCCGTCTCCTCGTTAAGGTTCTGCAGGTCTCTTCGAATGCGGATAGCAGCAGCTTCGATGGCATCGACGTCTTCGAATTCCTTGATGAGGTTCCGCTGCCAAGCAGGTCTATGTACTTCTGGCTCGTCGTCACTGCCATCTCGGGCCTGCTGCCCGTCTTGCCGGTCACCTCCCTTGCTCTTCCTTGGCAGCACAATAGCCACAAAGAGATGGTGCTGTTGTAAGTCACAGTCACAGAGCCACTCAACCAAGATTTGAAGGACTTCGCCAATTGAAACGAACGAACTGCACAAACCCACCACCCAACCACGGTCCCCGGTATATCCCGGCATGTCAAACGTACCTCACCTCGAGCGGGGGCGCTCAGGCGGATGCGCGTCGGCGCTTACAGTATTAGAAGCACAAATGCCAACAGGCGGCCGTCTGGGCTCCAAAGGTGATGCTGCCAAACTGGGTTCGTCCTTGCATGCTAGCGCAGCTCGCAAATCCCAAGGCGTACCCGAAGCTTCCGTGCTTGCCTCTAACAAAACAGCCCGCAGCAGAATGGTTCCAGTTGCAGCGACACGACCCCTCAAGAGGCAGTCGTGCCGGCTTTCACAGACTTGACATCTATCTTCAATGATGCTGCGTCTTCGGACCAGCTGGCACCTAAGATACACAATTAATTGATCATCATGCACGAACGTCATGTCTTCGACAGCACTGCATTAGTCGGCAACCAGATATTGGGGAAATTACAGGAAGGCCGTAGAATCGAACTGCGAACCGCCACCAAGAGGGCGGAGTGGAGAACAGAGTTGAAGCATTTTCAATCCCGAAAATTACAGGATGTTGTAATTACCTCCTTGCAGAGGAGAGATGAGGAGAGCACAAGTTGCCGTCGAAAAAATCATGCTTTTCTCTCCCCAACCTCATCAAGATTTCGGTGGTGCCCCAGCGCGGGGGGGTGGGGGGGGTGGAATAGATCCCCACAGACATTTGCAGAATATCGCAGAAAGCGAGCTTTGAGAAGTGCCCAGCCGAACTGGTTCGCGGAACATGATCAAGCTTCGATTCAAGCACCCTGAAATTATCGCCACGACGCCAGAGTCTTCACAACCCAGTGCTGGTGTCTATGCTGCTTCGGAGTTGAACATCCCACCTTGATCCAGAAGATTCCTCTGGCAGTACATACCAAGTTGACAAGGCATCGCTGCCGACAAGAAGTCGTCGGATCTGAGGGGAGGTGACACCGCATGGCAGAGTTTGGCAAAGACGCTTGGCCCATTAGCCCGCCCATCCCTGCGTCCTCGGCCGGTGCTGCTTCTACCGCACGAACCACCCCGGCTTCAAGAGGCCTCAGGCGGATGAGCAAATTGCCTTCAGGGAGCTCTGAACCTCGAGACCGCTCGAGACTGAGATGTTCACCAAACCACACTAGGGAGCGGCGGTTTTAGGACCAAATAAAAGCGGGCCACGCTTGCGGCGCGGCCATTGGCAGCTGCGGCCGAGAAGACAGCCCGCCCGTCGGATACTCCTGTCGGACCAGCCAAGACACAAGCAGACATAAGCAGACTGACTCTTCCCAGGCACCGCTGGGCACTCTCGGAGCCCGAGGTGGCTTCACCATGTCGACTTGAGAACTTGGACACCGGACATCAAGCTAAACCTGAGTCCAAAATCCAAAGACGCTGGCGAGGACATTAGAGGTTTTCACAGACTTTCACACAAACATGATCGCAGTTCGGCCGGATTGGAGGAAAGCATGATCTGTGGAGCTAGAGATGTGCTATGATGCACCAAGACTTGCCTGGTCCGGCAGTGACCATGTCATACTCGTCCCCACAAACTTTCGTGCGAATGGCTCGTCCAGCGGACCCCTTTCCGCCCGCTGAAATCTGTGCCTCGAGAAGTGATCTCGCAGCACGGGCGGCGACTGAAGCCTCTGCACCGCGAGCCCCCCCAAAGGCCATCGCGGCGGCTGAGGCCTGGCGTCTGTACACTTGCTGGTACATGCACCACTGCGAACCAGTCCCAACAGCTGCTCCCGACCTGCTTTGCCGCCTCATGCGGCGAGCAGCTAGCACCCAAAGCAGCATCGCCGGCCGCACGACCGGCGACCAGTGCAGCCGCAGACGCCGCTGCCTTGAGCAGAAGCCAGCAAGTACCGTACTGTGGCAGCACCGGTGGCAGAGTGACAGATGCAAGCACGGTTGCTTACAGTCGTTCTCATATTTCGGGGAAACCTTTTTGAGCAGACCAGAGTCAATCCATCTGCCAAGGGACTGCAGGAAGGAATGTCCACCGGTGTGATAAACTTTGAAGCTCATGAGTGTGAGATAATGCGGGGCTTCTGTGCCTGCTTGCCGAAACCGTGGCTCTCCAGAAAGCACTCTGCTGCCTCGCGAGTGCGAGTTTCAAAACTCGTCAAGAGCATCTGCACAGCTCTCATGCCCTCATGCCCTTGCACCGACTCTCTCTCCTGTAGAGGCTAAACCCAGCCTCACCGGCAAACTGCGCAGCTGCGTCGGGTGATTGGCCCTGCAAGGACATTGGCATGGTATCCTTTGCGCAGGGCCTGTGATGGCCTGTGACTGCACATGGGCCACGATTGAACCTCCTGAAAATGAGTGGGGAATGCAGGACTCCTTGACAGCTCCCAAAGCATCCGGCTGTATTGTCACGGCGACTGGAGATGACTGGAACAGTAAAGGCAGATTGTTGAAAAGCGTGCTTTGGAAGTTGCCAGGAACTAGTACTTACCATAGCCTTCGCCAGCATGCCGGCAGCTGCAGCAGCACCGGCAGCTAAAGCTGCAGCTTCTGCAGCAGCCTCCCATGTAACACTCCTGGGGCTTGTGTGAGGTACTTGGGACAGGGGCCTTTCGGTTCATGCCCTGCGACTCTGCTGCTGCGATGGCATGTTCAGCGGCTGTAGTCGCCACGACGTCTGGAGGCTTTGCTGCAGCGAAGGATGCTTCCGCCGCGAGGGCGCCTGCCGCCAGAGCTGCGCACTTCGCGACCTGACTTATAGCCAAGCCAAAATCCAAAGCTGCGGCAGCTGCTGCCTGACCTGCTGAAGCGGCAGTCTCGTTCAGACTCGCCCCCTTTGTGAGGAGAGCTCTGCCCCAGAACATTCCGGCGCTGATGGACGCATGGTAGGACGCACGGTCAGGTACCAAGTGTGCACCAAGCCAAGCCATCTTTGCTGCTTTGGCTGCTTCATCCACGGCCTCCTCCAACTTCAAACGCTTCTCCAAGCCTCCCTGCCCAACCACACGTGCCACGGTTATCAATGCCACCTCGCCTGCCACCTGAGTGGTGCAAGGCTGAAAAAGCGTGGAGTTGCGATTGAAAATCGAAATATGCGCATTTGGACGGTAGCCCAATCCCTTCACAAGATGATGGCCGTCTTGGGAAAACTTGAGTGCTCCTCCACTAGTGCAGCACCACTAATACGGCTAATATTACTAGTACCACTGCTAGTAAGCTAGTAGTAGTAGTAGTAGTAGTAGTAGTAGTAGTAGTAGTAGTAGTAGTAGTAGTAGTAGTACTAGTACTAGTACTAGTACTAGTACTACTACTACTACTACTACTACTACTCCTACTGCTACTGTATTACTAGCAGTAGTAGCAGCAGTGGCACATTAGTCGCAGTCGCAGTCGTAGCATTAGCTGTAGCACTAGCAGTAGTAGCAGCAGCGCAGCAGTCGTCGTCGTCGTAGTAGTAGTAGTAGTAAGCACTCCGGCTCAGCTGTGTCCGAGCAGCGGGACTCATTGTCATTCTTATGGAAGTAGTAGCGTCTATGCCATGGAGCAAACCTTGCGGCGGAACCCTGCTCAGAAGCGTGATGGTCACATTCCTAGTGCCGCTAGCCACGCTAGCGCTACTGTCGCTCCCTCTAGGCCCCAACAGAAGGTGCACGGGTCTAACTGCCCCTGCCCTGCCAATGCGTCGATCTCCCTGCGCGACAGCCATACCAGCACAGACTCCTGTGACCAGATGACAGCCACTTCTGCCTTCGTGCCACTGTCTGTGGGCACGGGGCGCAAGCCCTGTCGCAAGCGTATGTCGACCAGCAGCCAGGAGTTGGCTCAACATTACCTACAGCTGCCGCGAGCAAGATATGGATACCACCCGCGTTCCTCCTGGGTGCGTGCCATCAGGCCGCCCCATTGAGCGTACAGTGCCACACCTCCTTATAGATAGCCGGCCCGGTCCCACGGGTGGGATACCGACTGAAGACTCTACTTGTATTATTGCTACATTGTCAGGTGTCCCACAGTGTGAGGGTTTCAGCTCTTTCCGTTGGAGCTGGGGAAGGCAACTCCCTTGCCTATCAGCGACGACCTCAGGTGCCGAAGCTAAACGGAATTCAGGTCACAGGTGGGAAGCATTAACCTACTCACAAATGGAATCGAGATGTCAAGAGATCCTTTTTGCGAGCTTGTAACAGAGCTATTCGACATGGACATGTGCAACCCGTGTGCCTGCGTACCTTTCGTTTCCTTCAGATACCCGATGAGTGTTTAGCTGCAGACCATCGCTACATTGTCCCGAATGCTGACCGAAAGCTGGCGGCGGCAACCTATCCCATCCTGGGATGGGATGGCCCGCACTGGGTCGCGGCCCCACGTATGCTTCGAGATGTGGTTTGGATTCTGACACGTGCGTCCTTCCAGGTCACAGTTAGTATGTGCGAGAAAGCTGTGTTCCGGCAATGCTCTGCAGCCAGACCTCCCTTGGGTGCTGAAACAAAAATCATCGCCGTGTACACGGTTAGTGCGCCATCTATGGCCACTCCTTAAGGTGCGCTTGTGGGGCCACTCGCAAGTCGCAGGACCACACCTCTGTACAGAGAAAAACAATGATCAACACAAGATGCCACACCAAATGGCTGTAGTGATTGTGAATAGCTCTACGACCTTCTTCACGTTTTCCACGTCCTCGCATTCTACTTTAATCAGATTTTGCACTCTATTCGTTGAGTGAAGGGATGCACTGCTGCACCATTCTCTTGACTGCTGAGTACGTCGCAAGTTTGCAGGCATTAGTAGCGGAACTTGCACGAGGATTTGTGCTCTTGAAGCACCGGTGCAATGCACTCCTGACGCTAAGCTGAGCGACCGGCTGCGATTGGTAGTAGTAGTAGTAGTAGTAGTAGTAGTAGTAGTAGTAGTAGTAGTAGTAGTAGTAGTATACGTAGTAGTATACGTAGTAGTCGTAGTCGTAGTCGTAGTCGTCGTGGTAGTAGTAGTAGCCGTAGCAGTAGCAGTAGCAGTAGCAGTAGCAGTAGCAGCAGTAGTAGTAGTAGTAGTAGTAGTAGTAGTAGTAGTAGTAGTAGTAGTAGTAGTAGTGGCAGTGGTAGTGGCAGTGGCAGTGGCAACAGCGACGACAAGGAAGCAACTCGAAAGCATGTTCGTAGCCAGCACTCGTGATTTACCTTGACATCACGGACGTTGCTTACTGAACTCGCAGCCAGCCACTTGAGGAAACATTCCCGCCAGTCGGCCAGCTGTAACAGCGGCTCTCCCGGCGGCTGCAGAAGCTTCTTCGATGCTGGCTGTCTTCAGGGTCAAGCCTTGTTCAAGTGCATATCTAGCAACCATTGCCACTGCTGCAGTGGCTGCCATACCAGGGTTCGTTCCCGCCCCCAATGCCATGGAAACCACGGCATGGCCTTGGAGGATCATTTGGCATAACCCTGCGAGTCTGTTGACACCCGGGTCCCGGCTCCCAGCTCGAAATGTCTCCGAGAGGCCAGCGGCGGCCGCTGCCTCGTCCAGTGCTTTACCGGCCGCAGTCGCCAGATGCGCTGCTGCTCCGCCGGCATGAAGGGCCTGACACTCGAGTGCCTTTTCTCTAGGCAGCCCAACATCCACGGCAGCACGACTCGCCGCTGCGGCTGCCTGCCAAAGGAAACAGCCAAAGCAGTCACAAGTGTTGTGGCTCATACTCAGACTGTACATTGCCAGCTGACTTATCTTCTGCACTTCGTGCCATAGCAGATGTCCAAATCCCGCCTGCTGCACAGCTTGCTCCGAACTGCAGCATGATGCCATAGCATCCAATGTGGCAGCACGTCCGGCTGCTGCGACAGCCAAGGATTGAACATCATTGAATGGCAGCTCGTGTTTCTGGCCCACTTTGAGGGCTGCAGCAGCTGCACTGGCTGCAGCCTGTGGTGCTGCTCCCTGCAGGAGCCTTGCACAAGCTGCTGCATGGGCCGCCGTCTTCACCGCACACTGCTGCAATCGTTCTGTGCTTGTTTCTCCAAGCTCGCCAATCTGCTGCACTACTTGCTCTGCCACCTGCAAGACGTCCTCCGTGTTTGTCGATGCAGTCAAGGTTGCATCAAGAACCGCCCACGTCACAGCGAGGGAAGCCACTTCAGCATTGCGGGCTGGAGTCAAGCCCACGGCATCTCCAGCCTGCAATCCGGTAAAAACAAGCAATCTCGACAGCAGAATGGCAGAGCAAAGCCATGCAAAAGCTATTTAGAATCAAATCTGCAAGTCCGCAACGCCTGGAGGCCAGCATCGCAGGCTTGATGCATAGCAGTAGCGCGATCCTGCATGAGCGATCGGACGGCAATCGCTGTCGGGTGTTCACACGAGATCGTTTCAGTGTCTTGTGCCTTATATGCCTTGTGGAGGTTTTCCCATCAGCCTCGTATGCCGTCATGGCAGTGCAGGTGGTGCGAGTGGCCACGGCTGTGGCTGCCCTCTCGGCTGCCTGCCGAAAACTGCTTTCTACATGTCTACATGGCTTGGTGGACAGCTCTTCCGAGCCTGATCGGGTCGCAGCCCTGCAGAAAGCCCAAGCGACTGCGCCAAGTGAGCCAGTGACACGGCGCGAGATGCCAGGTCCTCATCTGGCCTCGGTAGAGGAACCGGTGGCACTTAAGCTCGTGGCCGCTGCACATTCTCTTTCCCTGGCCTTTTCTTGGTCACCAGGTGCGCTGCAATGCCGATTCCAGCGTCGACCGCTGGCCCTGCCAAGATCTGCAAACTGTGGCCCGAACAGCTGCAGGAAACACAGCGAAGCCCATCAAGCACGGCACAAATTGCTCGCCTGGCAGCAAGCCTGCGGCAATCCCAGCCTTGACGCCAGCAGCTCCTGCAAACGGCCCCGGTCTGGGGACAGAGAGGACAGCATAGTGTGCGATGCTGCCTGCTTTTGAAGCTTGCTCTTCTGGGCTTGTTTTAGCATCGCTGGCCGCCAGCAGTCTTCCCAGGGTCATGGCGATGGCCTTTCCACAGGCCTTGTATAGCCAAACGAGCTGCGAAGTGACTTGCGAGTATACTGCATACTCGCAGGTGCGAGTGCCTCCAATGCCTCCGTTCCTTCTGCGGCCTCGCGACCAGCTGCCTCCAAGGCTGCCTCTCCAAAACAGGGCTTACTGTAGTTTTTCCTTGTCGAAAAGAGATGCTGGGCGCTGGCTGCTGGCCTCAGGTGCTCGGCCCTTCTGAACCAAGGACTCGAAGGCGATCCTGCCGCGACGACTCCGCAGTTTGCTTAGAAGCACGTCACCAGAAGGACTCCAAGAAAGGGACGCCCCGCTCCGCTCCGCTCTTCGCTTCGGCTCCGCCTGGCCTGGCCCTGGCCGCCGCGGCCGCGACGGGAGCCGCAGGCGACTCGCAGCGGCCCCGCGCCGTGGAGGCGGCGCCCGCGATCTCCGCAAAGCCAAAGCCGTAAAAGTCGCGACTACGGATGTCTTGGAAATCTCTGCGACTATGCTGCGCCTATGGAGTTCAAACTCTCGCCTTGGCTGCGACAGTAGACGCTGTCTCCAGAGCAGCCGAATGCATCAGGCCTTCAAGCGTCACGTGCACAGTAGCTGGCGCGAGCTACAAGAAGTGAGCCTCTGCGAATTAATGCTCATTCCACACATGTACACATCATTAAATTGCATGTCACACTCAGACCAGGAAGGCTGACTGGCCCTGCAGCCGCGGACCTTGGGCCACTCCCACACGCCATGTGATAAGCGCAGCCTCCTCCGAAGCCTCCTCGCGAAGAGTCCACTTCTGAGTGAGACTAGAAACCCACCTCCGGTCGGTGCCTCCCCGATCCAATTCTCGGCCACGACATGGCCTGCTGCCAAAGCCGCAGCACGGCCGGCCTCGGGGCCACTCTCGTAGCAGTGGGACCCAGATCTAACGACGCTGATGCGGCCTCTGCAGGTGCCAGCCCCGCAGCAGAGCCCGCACGGGCTGCGGCCCGAGCACCGGCAGCTGCGGCGTCCTGATGTGCTCGCGACATGAGTAGCCGCTACTCATGTAGCGCACAGGGGCACAAGCCGCTAGAAGATTGCACTATATTGCCTTGGAAGTTCATGTAGCAAGCAGTCCATACTGCGCCGCGGCGAGACATGTCAACCTCTGTAAGTGGTCACGCTTGACGTTCGCGTCATAGAGTTTCTTGTCGAAGTATTCCAACGACCGCACAGAGCTTTCTCAGCAGTGCGAGAGTTTACTGCTTAATGCTATCGGTCCCCTTAAATGCTACTGTGCCGGTCCCATTCGGCGTCCTCCAGCTTCGCTCCAGCGTCGATTTCCAAATCTGATGCTACCTGCTTGCTGCTTCGTAAGGACGCAAGGTGTTTGCCGGAACGACGATCAGGCAAGAGCTACATTTCAAAAGGCAAAACATGATGGCTCGAACATCTTGAAGGCTTCCATGCCACGCCTTGCCAGCGGCGACAGCAGCAGTCTCAGCAGCATCTTTCACCTCGAGTCCTGCAGCTGCCGCAGCAGACCTGGCCGCGCGGCCTCTGCTAGGAACAGGAACCGGGCAGTGTCGTCTGGTTCGCGATATTTCGTGAAGCTTCCCGCCTGCAGCTGCGATCGCCAAGTCAGGCGAGTGCTCGCTGTCCATGGCGTCCTGCAAGGCTGGAGCCTAAGCATACACTGTCTACTCTCGCAGCAGTCCCGAAGCAGGGCCTGCGCAGCGAGACATGCGGCCTGGGCCGCAACTTGCGGCGCACACGCCAAGCCGTGCGAGGCGGCTGTTCGGAAGGCCTCCGACCGAGGTTCTCCGAAAGCTTGGTGCCATTATAGCGAAATTCCGTGCGCACGTCAAAGACGACAGCGTTGCGCATCTTGCAATCGACTCTACCGAAAGGATTTAGTGAGTCATGAATACCAGTACACCCCTGACAGACTCAGCAAGCTCTGTCTGCACAATGAAGATCTCATGAAAGACATCGCGCAGAATCAAAGTAAGGACCAGCAGCTTGAGCTCGTGCGGGTGACTGGAGACAAGAGGATCCACCATGTGGAAGTTGCAAAAAATGCATCCTTAAACATACTGTCAGCTCTCTAAAGTGAAAAACTGCAGTTCAAGGCACAGGGAAGGAACATAACGGTACAGGGCGGGAAAGCCATGAAAACCGAAAAACACCAACCATGAAATCTCGCGAGCTGAAAGCCTGGGCATCCGAAACGTCCCATGAATGAAGGACCGGCTCTTCTACATTCACAAGCATTCCGAGTTGTGCAGGACTTAGCCTCCAGATATCTCCAAACCTACCGGGACTGTTGGGGTACTAGTACGAAAAATGTTCTTTTCATTCCGTCCTGCTGTCTCCATTGGTAAAGCTCGCCGGTGAGGTCTGGAACCATTTGGCAAATCCTGCAAACCAAACGTTGCGTTGACTCGCGCCTCGTTGCCCGCTTCCTCGGCAATGCGCTCTGCATCGAGGCCAAGCCCAAGGCCTGCCTTGGGCTGTCGCGAGCTTTGGGTCTTTGACTTTGCGTCCACGGCTGTTCCTTTAAACACACGCATGGAGAGGTTCACAACTCCAGCATTTCAGGCACGAATTCCAGCACTGTTACACTGACCTGATTACTGACGAAGCTTTGGTTTTCGTTGGTTTCAGCTGACCTGACTTCGACAGGAGCTGTAGCAGGTTGGAATTGAACACAGACACAGTTGGTTCGCTTGCTTGTCACTACTTTCAACCATCTGTAACCTAATACAATCTCACTGCAGCCAAATTCTTGTACAAGAACCCACTGTATAGGAACCTTAGCCTTAGCCCTACCCGAGCCCGGATTAACAAAAATAAAAATGCCTCAAACGTAATTCCCTGCAGGGCCCAAGCCCTCGCGCCCTTGACTTCATTCGATCAGAAGGCCTAACAGCCCAACGGTCCAGCGACTTGGTGCAAACAGCCGTTCCATCGTATCCGTACTATAAAAGAGCCCCAATCATCGCCTCAGCCACAGCTTCGGCTGCACAAATCGCAGCCAGCTCTGCCGCTGCGGCCTCGCGCTGTTGCGAGGGGGTTTCCAGTTCTCCCAAAGCCAAAAAAGTGAAATCACAGATGTAAGCAAAAGCCCCATATGCAGGAACAGCTGTTGCTACCTACGATCATGAGTATGGGTCTCCAGGCTCAAAAAGGAAAGCCACTATCTTCAAACCGAAGCAGAGAGGGATGTGGATAGGCCGAAAGGGTGTAGATCGGCATTGCACTTCGCCTGCCTCCGCTGCTCCTGCTGCCTGCGCGGCTTGAAAGGCTGCCTCGTCGATGACAGCAAAGGGGCGAACATGCGAATTCCGATCTGACCGGCCTTTCACAGAATGCGTTAACTGAGATTCCGAAGTCAGACGCGGGGCCACTAGAACAAGGGGGGGGCCCTGGGGGCCCTGGCCTGGGCTGCCTCGGCCCCGGCATCGAAGCGGCTTCGGCCTCAGGGCTCTTCCGTGCTCCCCACCACTCCGCCACTCCGCCGCATCGTGCGAAGTGCACTCGCGCTCTTCCCAAACGTTCGTGTCTGCACTCCTGTTAAAAATATATATGAGAAGAGGGCTACGAAAGCTAGGCCACACGACTGCAACATCGCTGGCAGAGACTGTTTTTGCGCGGAGGCCTCCCGTGGCTGCAAGGATAGCATGATTCTCCTTGACACTGGCCTACATAAATGATACACGTTTGTCGTGTCGTCGAGCAGTTTCGAACTGTCCTGGTAGCAGCTTAGCTAATTACGGAGGGGTCAGACGTGAGCCTGCTACGCAGACGCACTCGGCCACATATGCACAAAGCGCAAGTTGCCATGTTGCTTAAACAAATGAGCAATGATATACCTTGACTTGAGGTGAGGGGGGGGCAGGGGATCCCCACCTTACACAACCAGCACACGAAATGCATCCTTGCACATGTTCATGTTCCAAGTTTTCACATGGCAGAACATTGCATCTGAACTGACGAAGGCGACTGCGTCGAGTCTGGCAACTGTTGTTGGAGATGCCTTCGGCTACTAACCTTCTCAGAAGACATACTAAGTAGTCAATGAGAACAAATACCAACGAACCTTGTTTCCTGCAAATGGCCTTGACAGGTCTTGACCAAAAAAATCGCCAATATTTCGTATGAGCTTGCCTCAGCGGGCACAAGTGCAATTTCTGGTTCGCGATGCAGTGCGAAAGCTGATTTCTATCGAGAATGACAAATTCAATCTGTCTCAGCAGCGATGTCCCACCCCTCACATGATCCCGACGAGCGTATGTTTTTGAGTCGAGTGTTGTCGCCCACGAGGATGTGCGTAGATGGCCTTGCTGGCAGAACTTTCCCGCTCTTGGCCTGGCAGTGGAACTCCGAAAAGAGTACCTCCGTCTTACTCTCTTTCTCTGTGGGTGCCATTGTGTTTTTTTGACCTTTGCTTTTCGACTCTTCCTGAATGCAATTCTGTGATGCTCCCCGCCGATTTTCTGGAGCCTCCTGGCGAGGAATTCATTAGAATTCGATCGACATGCAGTGAGCGTAATGCGCCCAAGCGGCAGTTCGGTGACTCGACTGCGCAACGGGCTGCAGCTTTGGCCGCCACTTTCGCGTTCAGCGAGCTGGGCAGGTTCTTCTTTGAAGCCATTTCATGGGCGCATTTCCCGGCTTCGGAAGGAGCGCAGGCCCCGGAGCTGAAGCGGTGCCCAAGCCCAGCAGCGATCCCAGCCTCCACCGTCGAGAGCTCCAGCGCTTTGGAGTTCTCCAGGCCTGCCTCTTGCCCCACCTTGAAAGCAACATCCTGAATGATGAGCAGCTCCGTCGAAGCCTCCTTCCTCATGAGCTCTGCGGCTAAGCTGCATGCCAGCCGACCAACCTTCTGCCGCGACATCCGACCCTTGGCTGCTGCTGCGCCGAATCTGGCAGCATGCACAGCCACTTCTGGAGCCAGCTTTCCAAGCTCTGACTCCAGCTCGAAGAAATACCTTCCCAGCCCTCTTGCAGCCTGCTTCACGGACTCCGGGTTTCCTCCATTTCCGACAAACTTCACAACTTCCGTAGCCTCTGAGACAATGCTGTCCAACGGTTTTCCAGATGCACTGGCCTCTCCACCGAGTGCCCGAGCGGCCACAACAGCACCGGCCTCCCAAGCCCGGTGTCGAACCAGGCCCCACTCCTCTGCCGATCGAGCCGCTTCCCGCCCAGCCCTGAGCGCGACCTCCTGCGAGCCAATCTCTTGTTCTGCTGTTAGCTTCTCACCTCTTTAAAGCCTAGCAGCAAACACCCAAACAGGTGGGTAGCTCCTTGAGGGAGCAGTCATCATCCAGCAAGGCTGATATCATTGTCTCGCCGGCTGCTGCTGCTGCCATTTCTGCGGCTCTTTGCTGGCCTGGGGTTTGCAGACTGCCAAGCCTAGGGCCTAGGACGAGGCGGCTCAAGTCTGCTTGCTCCGAGCGGCTCATACCCACTCTGTCAGCGAATGCAGCAGTTGCATCCCCGGCCTCATCCGCTGCCTCGCAAGGCTGGTCACATTTCCGGTGCGCTGTGATGCGCTCTGTGCTGTGGGCCTTCTCCGGCTTCTGCCACCGCAAGCAGGCCCGGCCCATTGCGCGGCCAGCTGCTGTGGCACCGATTTCAGAGGCCTCCTTGCGACAAACTTCGAATCTTGCATACCAAGCAAGCGTTGAATCCGAGATCAAGCAGGTTTTGAGCTCTGGCTATGCCTTTCCCTGCTCCTCGGAAGGGAGGCCCTGGGCCACAGCCACAGCCACGGCAGCCTCGCCTGCCTCGACCGCGGCTTGGGCATCGGACTTGCCTCAGTGACTCAGGCTAACGCGAACACCACTTTGCCGAGGTCCACCGAGGCTACCCGGGCGCCCGCGCCGTGTGCTCGGGCCAGCTGTGCTGCGGCACAGGCCACCACTCGAGCCGTTTCACGACTAGCCTTCTCAGACGGAGCACCCAGCGTTTTGGCTGCGGCCGTCGCCACCTCCAAGCTGCACTTTTGCAGGAGCTACTGTGCTAGAGAGGATTCGTACTTACAACCCCCACAGACAAACGAACCAACGCACGGCTTGATATGGAAGGAGCCTGTGCCACCGTGTTGAGAATCTCTTCTGTCAGCCCATCCGGGTTGCGCGTCCATGCCTTTCGAGGGGTTCGAGGGGCTGGACAGACAGTGCAGATGTACCGAAGCCTCCATGACGCTGTCTGTCGCAGCAATGGCGCCCTTTGTCGCTTGCACAGGAGGTGGTGCACCTTGTGCTCTGGCACAGAACAGAACAGTGTATGAAGCGGCGGGCTTTCCGGCAGTGTGTAGTATACCCGGACCATGACGCTGTGAATGGAGGAGGACTTGAAGAATCAGCACTCTTGATGTGAAAGGTAGTGACCGTGAGCCTGTGGATTCTGCTGCCTTCGCGGCTGCCTCCAGGGCCAAAGCAACCCGCACCAAGAGCACATCTGAGCCCTCACCGCCTGCTGAGTACAGAAATTCGTTTCTTCGCTTGCCGGCCTTGCCGGCTTGGTCCGCGATGTCTGCTAGAGGCTTCTCGGCGTTCAGCAAAGCCTTGAACCCAAGCCCGTGAAGCGAAAATCAGCAGCTAGAATGTTCGAGGAATGCCGCGGATCTGACTCTCCCTTTCAATTCCTAATTAAAGCCGGCATCGCGACCCACAGCACCTTCTGTGTAAACTCTGAGCAATCTTCAGACTTCTCTGTGGCCGGAATCCCCGGGGGAGGAACCCTCGCAACTTGCTGTTGACCTGGCGGTTCCGGCGTCTTGGCTGGAGAGAAGGGTGGGTATGCAAAAACCATCGGCCCAGACTCCGATGTAAGAAACGACCAACCACAACGACCTCCGAGAATCAGGCATCACGTACGACAATCCCGGCCAGCTCCGCAGCGAGGTTGACCAGCCTCGGCTTCTTCACGGTATGTCTGGCCAGTTCTGTGGCAGTCCAGTTCCCCCGAAATGCTCTGTCAGTGTCTGAGCAGATGTGCCTTGTGGAGGCAAGTCCTGCGCAAATGCAAAAGCTTCGACAAGTGGTCCCAAAAACTCCAAGCATCGTAGTCTAGAGTCTAGAAGAAACAAACACAAGTGAACAAAGTCAACCACAGTGACAGCAGCAGCAGGCCCGGATGCGTTGCGCAGTACGAGAACGACCATGAAGCCCGAATGGATGCAGATGCGACTCCGACGACAACTTTCTACCAGTTCGTACTAGCACGTGGTAGCGGCTAGCGCCGAGGAAGTGGAGCACAGGAATAACCTGTTGAAAACAGAGCAGTGTAGAAGAGATAATCAACATTTACGAGTACTGTTGTAACGGACGTCCGCAGAGGACTTGGTGAGCCGAACAGGAAATTTCACACAATGTGTGTTCTACTCTAATTCTGATGCTGTGCACATAAATGCGCCTTGCCTCGCTCCCTTCCTACTCGAAGAAGCTCCGCCGTGCCAGTGCTGGAGGCCTGAAGGGGTTAGCAGAACCCTTGCCCATTTTGGGCGACAATACCACCAGTCAACCCATCAGAAAAATATTCTTATACCCCCGACGCCTCACCAACTACATCACCACTACTTCCCCACCCTGTATAGGAATAACCGATTACCTCATCCATATAAGAGGATGTTCCTATACTCCCTAACACCTCACCCGCTATATCACCACTACTACGCCATTACCAAGACCAGTATGGGAATAACCAATTACCCCATCCATATTCCCTAAGGTGGTATTATCATCCCGAAATGGGCAAAAGTTCTCTCGTAGATCTTACTAGGTTTAGTTTCCAAGGTTGTAACCATAATATACTCACAGTGCAATGCCTCTTATAAAGTATGTATATATTCTACTTATGAGTGCATTATCCGATATAGTTTAGAGAACGAATTGTTTTCACTGGTTTATACTGGTTTGCTCTGGTTGCTTACTGCCGATATCCTTTACCTCATTGTCCATAGAAATCTCAATTATCACCTTATTGTCCTGCTTGCTGAATATCAGAAAATAGTTCTCAAGAAGTTCATCGTCAATCAATAAATGCCGTGTATGGTCAAATACAGTAACAATTTCTGACGGCTTGTCATCTGGCTTTTAGCATTTACGATTAGACTCTCTCCTCTTCTCTCTGCATGGAATACAATTTGCAAATAATTTGTCATTCTTGCTGTATCAGAATTCTTCAACTCTGTTTTTTACTCTGAGACCTTGGGCATGTGGTTGTTGAACGTTCCATGCCACGTATAAAAGACACTATTCTTTCAGGTCATTTTAAGTTTATCATTGTATACTTTCATTCCATCAAGGCAGTCGCAACAAATAGCCCTGGTTGTATACAGCATTACATACCTACCCGTTTTACTATGATAATTCTTCTTAAAGAACACTAAATTCTTCAACTTCTTACATCTGACGCACTGCCTTTCACAATAAACAGGATGATACTCACTATTAAAATCCATGGCTATTTTATAAACATATATTTTCACATTATATCTCTTTACAATGTTTCTCATAATTTCCTAATTATGGAAAGCATTGACACCAAACAAATCAACGACATGCTTATGATGCAGTGATGTTGTAGAATACTTGTCAGGGACACGCGAAGCGATATCTCGTGAAACGATATCTCCTGCAACGATAGGGGTTCTGTCATAAGACTGTAGAAAATGATTTCTATATTAAAGTAATGAGTGAAGAAGTTCTTAAAGTAGAACCTACAGACATACCAAAATGCAGTTATAATAATAGTAAATACGAGATGATGCCAAACCTACCAGCAAGAGTGTTATGTGTTGCTCGTTCAGCGGGTGGCAAATTTGTTTTGATACAAAAGCTAATTTTTTTAAATCTACGGTGCTTCTGATGAACGAACAATTTCTTTTGGTCCTAGTGTGCATGTAGATGATACATGGAGGCAGTCAAGAAAGGCATTACTGATGTAAAACAAGTGATACAGAAGAACAAGTATTATGAAGAATACGATCCAATTGCTTTAAAGGATATTATAGATTCACAACACAAGGTAATAGACTTCCAGAGCAAGAATAAACAAAAGGAGCTGTTCAGTATTTTAATAGTGGTGGACGACTTTGCCGAACACCCTAAATTTATAAGATATTCCAATATCTCCCATGGGTTGTTCACGAGATGTAGACATGCAGCAATTTCATGTCTCTTATCAACACAACAATACGATGCTAGCACCTATTATTCGACTCAATAGCAGTGCATTGTTTATATTTCGACTGAAGAACATGAGCGAGGTAAAGATTTTTTTGTAGACACGAAAACAGTACATGACATGTACCAACCAGCGGTGAATTTTGCACCTTACTCGTTCTTCTACACAAACACCAATGGGAAAGATGTTACCAATATGTTTTACATCAATTTTGAAAAACGCTTTGAACTAGGTGATTAATATCAACTTGGTCATTTCTCCTTTCATTGTTGCCTTTCCATTGTTTTACTGTTTCTAACAGTTCATCTTTCTCTTGTGTGATCTCCCGAACTGACCTCCCATAAAACAACAGTCATCTTGTTATATGTTATAAATGTATACCTTCATCATTATAATTATAATGTGTTATCTTGTCCCATTCTTTCGGCATTCTAGCGTCTTGTATATCGTCTGCTATAGATCCAATATTACATTTCTTGTCTTCATCTTTAATAGAAGTATTTGTTTTCGGCTTCATATACTTAACTACTTTATAACATTCTTTCGTGCTTACCTCCTTGATGTTCTCTTTCAGCTTAACGTCTGATGTTTCAGTTAAAGCAACAAATGTCAATGTTCCGTTTATATCTGCGCTATTTGTTGTAGTAAAGAAACCATAAACATCATGTGTATACTCGTGATAAGTTGTTATTAGTTATTACTCAATCTAATGAATCCATCGGTGTCTGGATTATTAATCCGCCGAGGCCACAGGCCCAAGTGTCTTGGGGGCTAAGAAGCGTCAAGCACAGCAGCGTTTGTGACAAAATAAATGTCAGACAATCAAGTTTGGATATGGGGAAAATGAATGAAACAAAAACGCAATCGAAACACAAAAAAAGAAGAAGAAGCTACACAAAATCGCAAAATGGGGGGTTTACGAACAAAATAAAATGAGAAAAGAAGGAAGATTGACCCTCTTGAAGCACCACCTCAGGCCTCTCCAGTCCGCACCCTGAAAGTCGCGATGTTCCAGACCTCTTTTTCAAACTTCTCGAACTGCCAACGGCCTCCAACACCAAGGATTACCCCAGCATCGCATTACACCTCACCAGTTGGATCTGATCTTCTGAAATCTTTTTTTTGGCGCCCCCTCCACCTAACCTGCACTCCGAAGTTTCGAGACACCAGTTTTTTTGCATTCATTTGCCACCCCCTTGCCCGGCTTCCCTTCATGCTACCGGATTTTCTGGCCTTCCTTCCTCGTTTCCTCCTGGTGTTGGCTGTTTTTGGCCTCCTCCCCCTCCCCCTCTCCCCTTCTCTTCCTGCTCCTGCCCAGTCCCCTGCCGCAGGCGGCCATGCTGGTCCCTAAACCCTGCGTTACAGCTGTTCGTTCCTCCTTGCCGCACGCTGACACGTCTCGTTGAAAAGCAACCCTACGGCGCCCCCGCACCTGTTGAATCGTGGGAGTCCTCTTCCAACTGAAAGTCCCAGGACAAGGAATATCTGAGCTTCTTTACGTTCCGGCATTGGAGCCTTGCCGTGAGCGACTGCGACTCGCACCCGCTCTAACAAGGGCTTGCAACCCAAGCTTCCTACCAAAGCTATCGCCGCGTAAGGTGTTGTCCCTGACAGTGCTCTACTCCACGTGTTTCCAGCCATACTCCAGCCCGAACTTCTACAATCTCGATCCCGTCGGGCCTGCATGGCGTCCTTGCCAGCTTCCAGCGCTGCGGTTGCTGCGGCTTGCCCTGCAGCTCGGGCCTCATCGCCCTGCATCTCAGAGCTCGAGGAGATTCGAGGAGCCCCACGACAGCAACAAAATCGACGGGCCTTGTTCTTCCAAACAACCACCTTTGCCGCTGATGCCGCTGCAGCAGGTTTGGAATCCAATTTCGCAGCATCGTTGGCTTTGGGAATCGGCACCTCCTTTCAGCAGTTGTTGACAGACGAGTCCAGCAGCTGTCCTACTCACATGCGAACCCTGTAGAAGTTGTGTCTCTCGCACCGCGGAGTGCTTCAAACAGCGCCTGTGCAAGGTTTGCCCTGGCTTTGACTTTGGCTTGCAGCTCCTCCAAAGCCTGCATGAGGGTTTCGGTAGAGGCTGGTTGCGTCAGGCGAAAAGGGGGAAGCCTCTGGAGACATGCCAAACACAGAAACCACCAGGCCAGATGCAGGGACAGACGGTGAATCTCAAATTCACTCACGAGTCTTGCCCAGCCTCAATGTAAGACAGTAGTGACAGTTATACTGAAGGTTGCAAACAAAAATAACTAACGCTTCCGTCCTTGTCCTCTGTGTCTTTCTCCGAACCTGTCGTGTGATCGCCGTCAGTCGCATCGAGCTCTCTCCTAAGAGCCTCTCTAGCCGAATCGGCGCTCTGACTCCGGATCGACAAACCCGTGCTCTTCATGGTGGTGGACTTTGCACAGCATCCCCTGCGGAAGTACAACCCGTATGCAAAGGGACCCCTATACTAGCAGACTACGGCAGTAAGGCTTTGATGTTCGGCAAGCAGGCTTCAGCCGTTTCGACGTGGCCGGCGATTACCGGGTGTGCCTGGATGAACTCGGTCTGGTAGTGGCTGGTCGCCCTGCAGAGAAGCGACCCTGTTTTTGGGGGGCGAAGGACGAAGGGCCGTTTTGGGCCGTGAAGGGCCCAAGGAACTGGGCCTCCAGGGAGAGCGCCTTGGCCAGGCCCAGCGACTGCAGCCTAAAACAGCGGCCATGCAGTAAGCTGCCATCAAAAGTACACCGACGAGTAGCCCCTCCAAGGCGCCGACCGCCTCGGCCTCTGCTTCTCCTTGGCCTTGCTGCTCAACATGCTCAACATCCGCATGCGCATGAACACGCTCGTGGCGAGGGGGTCTGCTTTGCGAAGACCCTTCCCGGACACTCTCGTTCCGGCCTCCTGGCTCTCTTTGCGCTTGTCGCTATCTTTGTCCTGCTCCTGTTCGCAGCTCCGTTGGGCACATGCTGCAGGGGCTGCCTTGGATACAAAGCCTGACCTCCGGTGTCGCACTGGGCTGCGTCAGCGTGCCTGGCGCTCCCGCACAGTCTGCAGAAGGCTCATGTTGATTCCACCCGCGAGCCTTCTTCAAGACCAGGCCTCGGTCCAAAACTGACAAACAGGTGCCAACGGATGCCAAACTCCAGTTTTTGCACTATCACCTAAGCTAAAACAGCAAGAGAGATGCTTCCTCGCATCAACTTGCCTTCTGGTGCACAGAGCTCCAAAACTCGTAGACTCTCGGAACGCCACGCCGAGTCCAAGTCCACCCGCACGGCTAAGAAAAGGGCTCTACCAAAGCTGCCAGGCCCAGCTTTCTGAGGCGTCCTGACGAGACCCAAACGACTCCGAAGTAGTCTTGACCTTTCCTATGCTCCCGATCCCGACCTGCCCTGAACATCACTGCGGCAGCGCTGTGCTTGCAGCGCGTGTGCACCGGCCGGGCCTGGTGACTGCTTCTTGCCAGGGCCAGGGCCGGCCTGCAAGCTGAGTGCAAGTGCTACGAAGTGAAACGTCAATTCGCGGCGTTGTGTCTCAGTCTGCGGTGTATTGTACTATAATACTATAAGTCTGTCAAGCCCTCATTGATTAAGCACTTCAATTCAAAAAGGGTCTTCAAGGCTGTGCAAGTACGTGGCTCGAAGGGAGGACTGAAAAACTCCGAGAAGTGTGGAACGGGTGCCAGAGCGCAGAGCGCAGCGTCCCGTGCCTCGGAGAGATCGGCGCTCGCATCACTTGCGTCCTGGAGAAGCTGCTCAAACGAAGCTCCCGTGGTCTTGACGCTAGCGGCGCGCAGCCGGGAGTAGAAGCATAAGCGCGCGCAACAAAGAAGCGTTCTGTCCAGACCCAAGGCAGTGCTGAGGCCCAGGTCGAAAAGCCTCCAACGGCGCTGCGGGAGGCGCGGAGTGCTTGGCGACTGCGTGTTGTTTCTCCCCCCTCAAGCGGTTCCGGGGCCTCGGCCGGTGCTTGGCGCGGCTGCTTTTTCGTTCTGAAGCCTGCAGCACATTCACAAGCACGCTCATTCGCCTCGGCCCCGGCCGAAGCGGCCAGAGGTTCCTGTACGGATTCCCTCCATTCCCCACCTCTTAATCTACCCCCCTCTGCGTGAACCTCTGGATGGGCCTAGGTCTCACGGTGAAGTTTCCAATAGATGTGGGCTCCTTGTGGGGCAGCTTCACTTAGGCCCTGTCCACCCGCCGCCCGCTTTGCCCTCTCCCCCCCCGGCACTTTTCGAACACCCTCGCAGGAAGATTGACCCTCCAAAATGAACAGTTCAATCGCACTGTCTGATGTAAAATGGGACAGCCATGGCTGGGAGCGATGCTGTCGGTGCGCCGCGTGTGCGTCTGTGCGTGTGTCTGTCTGTGTGTGTGTGCGCGTGGGTGGAACTCTGTTAAAAAGAGTTTCTTCAGTCAGCATGCACGGGGCCCGAGGGCACATCATACAGCTCGGGCCAACGAAGCTCTGTATGATGCAGCCAGGAAAACGTACCTGCAGATCAGTCAGGTTTTGGAACCCCTGAAAGCCTCATGCTTTCAAGATACATCAAGCAGTGCTTAATAACCAACAGATGAGTGGCTGCGCGATGGATGCCCTTAGTTTTTTTTTTTTTTTGTGTGTGTGTGTGTGTGTACGTCCACCCCCCTCCACCCCTTCCCGCCCCCGTTCCTCCGCCAACCCAATAATATCAACTTTTCGCTGCTCCTCTCGCACTGCTTGCTGACCCTCCCATGCCATGGCATGCGAGCTTCACGCTTGCATCAGTGGCTGCGCTTTCTCCCTATACGCTGTGGGTTTAGGGTTTCGGGTTTAAGCTTTGAGGCCTGGGGTTTAGAGTTTCGGGTTTCAGGCCTATGGGCCTTGGTAGGCTTTCCGGTTGCTGCTTTCCGAAACAATGCACCAAGCCGGGCCGAGGCGGAGTTTAAACTAAAGCCGCTACCCCTTCGCCATGCGACAGTGTCTTGTGGTGTTTCGGGAGCATCAGTGAGTATGCCCCAGAGGTCAAGGAGTGGCGTTCTGTCTTTCTCTGGATTTCAGCATGAGGCTTCTGAATAAATGGAGTGAAAAGCCTGACCGATGATTTTGCATACTCGTTGTGGCATGTTGTGGCATAGTGTTCGTCTTGTCGTACTTCAAAAGCAACTTTAGCATGCAGAACACATGGTTGATGCTCCCATAAAGTGTGCAGATGATGCAGCAAGTCAACATGCTACTGACAAGCAAATCAAGCTCGGCTCAGAAACTTTGACAAGATCGGCTTGAAGGTTCGTATACAGTAAAGCGTATACATGGTGAGAGCTGCTCGCATCAAAGCAAGCACAGCTTTCGTTGGGCCGGCAAGAAGAAGGGGAGACGCAACACAAGATAGCAGTGCACCTTCGAGTCTTTCCCAGGGACATCTTCCTCCCGCCAGGCTTCTTACGGGCAGCTGACAAGCATCTGGACGTCAAGTGGAGCAGAAACCACTGAACTGTCAAGTGACCTCGGAAGCAGCCGTCGTCGCCTTCGTGTCTTTCTTCGCAGGCTCTGCAGGTTCTGGAGCCTTGGCGCCATCGAAAAGCTCCCCTGCCTCTCGCCTGCTCTCAGATCTGTGGCACTGGACCAGTGGGACCACTAAACAACAAGAGGACATCCCCGTCTCGCGGCGATGCTTTACTATCATTTGCATCGTCTCGCCTTCTTGTCTGTCCTTGCTCCTGCGGCGGCCGTCGACGCCGTCAAGGTTCTCGCCTGTGGAATCTTTGACTCTGAAACTGTTCTACGTCACCATCATGACAGGTAAAACGCCAACAGTTCTCACCATTTCCCAGAAGGTTCATGGACACGTCCCCAGCAAGCTGCCGAAGGCTTCAATCATCTAACCGTTTCTCAAGCTTGGATTGCCTAAGCAGGAACAGCCGCCCCAACATCGAAGTGGTTGGACCTGCCTGCATGCCCTACCTCCTCCTTGGGTACGGTGAGGAGCAGTCCAGCAAAGCATGCGGCGAAGTAAACCGACTTAATTAGTGCAGATTAGAGTTAGTTAGCAATCACACTTTCTGCTGGACATAGACCAGAGGCGCTAGTGACCGCTAGTGTAATTGCTACGATTGCAATCGTGAAAATTGTGATGGAGACTCTCGCCGCGCAGCTCGTCACTGCTGTGAGGAAGCATACGGTCTACCATCATTGAAAAACCTTCATGCCTTCTGCGCGGATGCTGGAGAACCGTCCTTTGCTTTGCTGTCCGCCTGGCAAGACAAGTCGTTGCAAAGTCGCATCTGAAGTCTGATCCAAGGCTGTTCGGGTATTGTGGCAGATTAGGTAGCCACTACAGTGCCACTAATTACGACATACGACAAAGCAAGGCAGGGTCAAGGAAGAAACCTGCAGTTGCACCATGTTGAATCCGACAAGGTTCGTCGAAGGGTGCGTCTATTCTGCACATTGCTGGAACGTGCCGAGAGTACGGCGAAACCATGCAAAACATCGGAAGCAAGTTCGGTTTGCTGCAGCCTTACATAGAGCAACCCACGGTCCACAGACGCCTTGGTCGCCTTAGCCTTTTCGTCTGTCGAAGCTGTAGGAGCAGGCGTCGATGACGGCGTCATGTCTTCCTGTCACCATCCACAGGCAAGCCGGCTCTTGGGCAAAATCTGTACGTGCGACAGCAGATAGTGCTGCATCCAGTTCTGCGAAGGCAGCAAAACATGGGACACAGCAACCTGCCTTCGTGTCCTCGTGCGCTGTAGGAGCAGACGCCGAAACGAGGCCAGTCGTGGAGGCAGCATCTTCCTGACGAGATTCTTTCTAGACAGTAGCTGCAACGACAACATGCTCTAGCAACCCGTTCCCTCCAGAAGAGGGTGCCAGATTCCAACAAATCCCAGCGCGATTGTGCCACAATCAGCAGAGAGCACCTTGGCAACAAGGCTCTCCACCCTGGCCGGCGCTTCAGCAAGCTGCTGAACCTGCGGAGCATGCTGGCCAATGGATGACAGTCAATCATAGTGGCTACACGTGGCTGCTGTGCTAGGGGTGTCAACATCATGCTGCATCCAGGATGACATCTTGCTTTCGTGGCTTAATTCTCCTGTCAAGCTGACTAGCATGTTGTCTGGCCTTCTCTTCAGGCGATGCTGCTGCGGCAGCCATCGATCCAGTCGCAGCTTCTTCCTGTGTGCATCTTGAGAATGAGGACTCCAACTGCGTTAACATATTCGAGATCTGCATCGTTGCAGCATGTCGGGTTTGTGACTGGTGAGAATAGCTAGCTCTGAACAGCATGCAGCCGTGATGCCTTCTGCTGCTTGGCGGCTGGAGAACCCCCTGCTGCATTGCCCCCCTCCTCGCAAGGTAGAATGAGGGAGCTGGCAAGAAGCGTGGCCCAAGCGGCCTGCCTTCCTGTCTTCCTCGGCGGAAGCAGCAGCTGCCACAGGGACAGATGTGGAGGCATCATCTTCCTGACAAGAACCGTTGTGAAATGCTCCACACCTGACCGGAAGCATGCTCCTTGGGAAGATCTGCCGGTGCCGTGGCAGAGGTTGTCTCCTCCTGTTGCAGGCTCCGGGCGCGGATGATCAGCTGCAAAAAGCGTTTTCCAGGAACCTGCCTTCTGCTTGTCTTGTGCTGTGGCATCCGGAGCAGCTGCGGAGGTGGCATCTTCCTCGCAAGAAGCTTTCTGGAGACTGCTGTAGCAGCCACCTCCTCCTCCTGGCTCTATCACGCGCCTTAGCTGCAGATCCGTCTGCTGTGGTTGGCTGCTCTCCAACGATTCCTTGAGCCTGGCGAAACGTGCTGCCAACTCTTGCCACAGCTACCAGCACCGTCACGCCATGTCAGTCTCGCCTTCTCATCTACCGATGCTGCAGGGGCTGCCGTCGATGAGGTCACCGAGTCCTGTCACCCATTAGCGAATCAATCCACCGCTAGACATTGGGGGTGTGTAAGTGTTACGATCGGGTCACGGTGTATCACAGTTGTGGCGACATGTGCTCACGGCAGTGCGTGTGGTTGCTTGTGTACTCTTGTGCAAAGCTGGCTTTGCAGAACAAAAGTGCCTTCTGCTCCTTGGAAGGATCTGCGGGCACCACGGCAGATGCAGATGCTGCTTCCACCTGGTGCAGTCTCCGGAATGAAGGCAGGTGCATGCTGCATAACATGGGTCACAGCAACATGCCTTCGTATGCTCGTGCGCTGTAGGAGCAGACGCCGAAACGAGGCCAGTCGTGGAGGCAGCATCTTCCTGACGAGATTCTTTCTAGACAGTAGCTGCAACGACAACATGCTCTAGCAACCCGTTCCCTCCAGAAGAGGGTGCCAGATTCCAACAAATCCCAGCGCGATTGTGCCACAATCAGCAGAGAGCACCTTGGCAACAAGGCTCTCCACCCTGGCCGGCGCTTCAGCAAGCTGCTGAACCTGCGGAGCATGCTGGCCAATGGATGACAGTCAATCATAGTGGCTACCAGGATGACATCTTGCTTTCGTGGTTTAATTCTCCCGTCAATGTTGTCTGGCCTTCTCTTCAGGCGATGCTGCTGCGGCAGCCATCGATCCAGTCGCAGCTTCTTCCTGTGTGCATCTTGAGAATGAGACTTCCAACTGCGTTAACATATTCGAGATCTGCATCGTTGCAGCATGTCGGGTTTGTGACTGGTGAGAATAGCTAGCTCTGAACAGCATGCAGCTCTCATGCGTAGCAGGCTGTGTCTGCAGAGCCGTCATGCCTTCTGCTGCTTGGCGGCTGGAGAACCCCCTGCTGCATTGCCCCCCTCCTCGCAAGGTAGAATGAGGGAGCTGGCAAGAAGCGTGGCTCAAGCAGCCTGCCTTCCTGTCTTCTTCGGCGGAAGCAGCAGCTGCCACAGGGACAGATGTGGAGGCATCATCTTCCTGACAAGAGCCGTCGTGAAATGCTACACACCTGACCGGAAGCATGCTCCTTGGGAAGATCTGCCGGTGCCGTGGCAGAGGTTGTCTCCTCCTGTTGCAGGCTCCGGGCACGGATGATCAGCTGCAAAAGGCGTTTTCCAGCAACCTGCCTTCTGCTTGTCTTGTGCTGTGGCATCCGGAGCAGCTGTGGAGGTGGCATCTGCCTCGCAAGAAGCTTTCTGGAGACTGCTGTAGAAGCCACCTCCTCCTCCTGGCTCTATCACGCGCCTTAGCTGCAGATCCGTCTGCTGTGGTTGGCTGCTCTCCAACGATTCCTTGAGCCTGGCGAAACGTGCTGCCAACTCTTGCCGCAGCTACCAGCACCGTCACGCCATGTCAGTCTCGCCTTCTCATCTACCGATGCTGCAGGGGCTGCCGTCGATGAGGTCACCGAGTCCTGCCGCTAGACGTTGGGGGTGTGTAAGTGTTACGATCGGGTCACGGTGAATCACGGTTGTGACGACATGTGCTCACGGCAGTGCGTGCGGTTGCATGTGTACCCTTGCGCAAAGCTGGCTTTGCAGAACAAGAGTGCCTTCTGCTCCTTGGAAGGATCTGCGGGCACCACGGCAGATGCAAATGCTGCTTCAGCCTAGTGCAGGCTCCGGAATGAGGGCAGGTGCATGCTACATAGCATGGGACACAGCAACCTGCCTTCGTGTCCTCGTGCGCTGTCGGAGCAGACGCCGACACGAGGCCAGTCGTGGAGGCAGCATCTTCCTGACGAGATTCTTTCGAGACAGCAGCTGCAACGACAACCTGCTCTACAAGTAGCAACCCGTTCACTCCAGAAGAGGGTGCCAGATTCCAACAAATCCCAGCGCGATTGTGCCACAATCAGCAGAGAGGGCACTCCTGTCATTTGTGACTCCCTATTTCTGTCATTTGTGACTCCCTAGGTTCCTGGGTCTGGCCTAGGCAAATCCCCGTCATTTGTGACTCCCTCCGCCTGCCATCACCACACATCACCTCACCCGAAAGTGCTCATATTCATTGGCAGGCCTGTGATTTCTTCTCAAACAAGCACCTGTCATCTGTGACTCCCGACCCTTTTGCCTTGCTTGTCAATGTGGTTTTCACACAGCAACACCGGTCATCTGTGACTCCCTTACTTTTCCTTCTTCTGGTCATCTGTGAGCACTCCTTAAGGTCTTCGTCTTGGGTGAAAGGTTCTTCTTGGATTCACCCCTTAGGATTCCCTCTTCGGCAAAAGGTTCATGCTGGATTCAGTCCTTAGGGTCTTCGTCTTCGGTAATAGGTTCCTGCTGGGTTCACTCCTTAGGGCCTGGGTCCTCCTCAGGGCCTGGGTCCTGCTGGGTTCACTCCTTAGGGTCTTCGTCTTGGGTGAACGGTTCTTCTTGGATTCACCCCTTTGGGTTTTTGTCTTCGGCACTGGGTCTTGCTGGGTTCACTCCTTGGGGTCTTCGTCTTGGGTGAAAAGTTCTTCTTGGATTCACCCCTTAGGGTTTCATCTTCGGCTAAAGGTTCCTGCTGGGTTCACTCCTTAGGGTCTTCGTCTTGGGTGAAAGGTTCTTGTTGGATTCAACCCTCAGGGTTTTTGTCTTCGGCACTGGGTCCTGCTGGGTTCACTCCTTTTTGTCTTCGTCTTGGGTGAAAGGTTCTTCTCAGATTCACCCCTGCTGGTTTCATCTTCGGCTAAAGGTTCATGCTGGATTCACTCCTTAGGGTTTTTTCGTTTTCGGTAAAAGAATGTTGCTGGGTACACTCCTTAGGGTCTTCGTCTTGGGTGAAAGGTTTTCTTGGATCACCCCAGAGTTTTTCGGGTCAAAGGTTCTTCTTGGATTCACCCCTTTGAGCGTCATCTTCCGCAAAAGGTTCATGCTGGATTCACTCCTTAGGGTTTTTGTCTTCGGTAATAGGTTCCCGTTGGGTTCACTCCTTAGGGTCTTCGTCTTGGGTGAAATGTTTTCTTGGATTCGCCCAACAGGGTTTCATCTTCGGCGAAAGGTTCCTGCTGGCTTCACTCTTTTGGGTTTTTGTCTTCGCTAATAGGCTCCTGCTGGATTCACTCCTCAAATTCTGCGCTGAAAGGCCGAAAGGCCCATCTTCGGCACACGATTCCTGCTGGATTCGCTCCTTAGGGTTTTTGTCTTCAGTAGTAAGTTCCTGCTGGATTCACTCCTTGTTGCGGGTTTGTTAAGCAGTACTAGAGGCGTATTATATGTGTGTATATATATATATATGCGCCTATATATACATATATATATATTTATTTATTTATTTATATTTATATAAAGATATAAACATATATGCGCTCATAACACATTATGTATTATGTATTATGTATTATATTTTATACTATATACTATATACTCTATATTATCTAATATTTTTTAATATTATATATGATATATATGATATATATATAAATATACTATTTATATTATATTATATATTATACATTATATAGTATATATTATAGGTTATATAATATATACTATATAATACATATATATTTTATATTTTAAATTGATTATGTATATATATATATACATATATATATATATATATATATACATGTATATATATATATATGTATTATATGTGTATATATATATATATATATATATAATTCTGAATTGGAAGCAGGCATATGGTTGTGCGTTGTGCGAAAAATACACCTCTCCTAGGGAAAAACACTACTTTCGTGCGAAAGTGCACGAAGCCTAGGAAAAACTGCATTTTCAGCGAGAAAATGCACCAAACCCAGGGAAAACGAAGATTTCTTAAAAATGAGCACCGCGCCTAGGAAATATTGCAGATTTGGGCAAACTGACTACAGTCATTTGTGACTCCCAGTTTTCCGTTTCAAACATGAAAGCAATCGGTGCATGTGCTGGCATGTACCAAAACCCTGGAAGGGTCTCCATTTTCAGCCGTTGAACCACCTGTCATTTGTGACTCCCTGGTCGGCTGTTGGACAACAAGGTTCCTGAAGACAAACGTTCAAAAATATCCCAAAACCCTAGGGAGTCACAAATGACAGGAGTGCCAGCAGAGAGCACCTTGGCAACAAAGCTCTCCACCCTGGCCGGCGCTTCAGCAAGCTGCTGAACCTGGGGAGCATGCTGGCCAATGGATGACAGTCAATCATAGTAGCTACACGTGGCTGGTGTGCTAGGGGTGTCAACATCATGCTGCATCCAGGATGACATCTTGCTTTCGTGGCTTAATTCTCCTGTCAAGCTGACTGGCATGTTGTCTGGCCTTCTCTTCAGGCGATGCTGCTGCGGCAGCCAACGATCCAGTCGCAGCTTCTTCCTGTGTGCATCTTCGAATGAGAACTCCAACTGCCTTTACATCTTCGAGATCTGCATCGTTCCAGCATGTCGGGGATATGACAGGTGGTGAGAATGCTTTGAACAGCATGCAGCTCTGGCAGGCTGTGTCTGCAGAGCGGTCATGCCTTCTGCTGCTTGGCGGCTGGAGAACCCCCTGCTGCGTTGCCCTCCTCCAAGGTAGAATGACGGGAGCTGGCAAGAAGCGTGGCTCAAGCAGCCTGCCTTCCTGTCTTCCTCGGCGGAGGCAGCAGCTGCCACAGGGACAGATGTGGAGGCATCACCTTCCTGACAAGAACCGTTGTGAAATGCTCCACACCTGACCGGAAGCATGCTCCTTGGGAAGATCTGCCGGTGCCGTGGCAGAGGTTGTCTCCTCCTGTTGCAGGCTCCGAGCGCGGATGATCAGCTGCAAACAGCGTTTTCCAGCAACCTGCCTTCTGCTTGTCTTGTGCTGTGGCATCCGGAGCAGCTGTGGAGGTGGCATCTGCCTCGCAAGAAGCTTTCTGGAGACTGCTGTAGCAGCCACCTCCTCCTCCTGGCTCTATCACGCGCCTTAGCTACAGATCCGTCTGCTGTGGTTGGCTGCTCTCCAACGATTCCATGAGCCTGGCGAAACGTGCTGCCAACTCTTGCCACAGCTACCAGCACCGTCACGCCATGTAAGCCTCGCCTTCTCATCTACCGATGCTGCAGGGGCTGCCGTCGATGAGGTCACCGAGTCCTGCCGCTAGACGTTGGGGGTGTGTAAGTGTTACGATCGGGTCACGGTGAATCACGGTTGTGACGACATGTGCGGACGGCAGTGCGTGCGGTTGCGTGTGTACTCTTGCGCAAGGCTGGCTTGCAGAACAAGAGTGCCTTCTGCTCCTTGGAAGGATCTGCGGGCACCACGGCAGATGCAGATGCTGCTTCAGCCTAGTGCAGGCTCCGGAATGAGGGCAGGTGCATGCTACATAGCATGGGACACAGCAACCTGCCTTCGTGTCCTCGTGCGCTGTAGGAGCAGACGCCGACACGAGGCCAGTCGTGGAGGCAGCATCTTCCTGACGAGATTCTTTCGAGACAGCAGCTGCAACGACAACATGCTCTACAAGTAGCAACCCGTTCACTCCAGAAGAGGGTGCCAGATTCCAACAAATCCCAGCGCGAGTGTGCCACAATCAGCAGAGAGCACCTTGGCAACAAAGCTCTCCACCCTGGCCGGCGCTTCAGCAAGCTGCTGAACCTGGGGAGCATGCTGGCCAATGGATGACAGTCAATCAAAGTAGCTACACGTGGCTGGTGTGCTAGGGGTGTCAACATCATGCTGCATCCAGGATGACATCTAGCTTTCGTGGCTTAATTCTCCTGTCAAGCTGACTAGCATGTTGTCTGGCCTTCTCTTCAGGCGATGCTGCTGCGGCAGCCAACGATCCAGTCGCAGCTTCTTCCTGTGTGCATCTTCGAATGAGAACTCCAACTGCCTTTACATCTTCGAGATCTGCATCGTTGCAGCATGTCGGGGATATGACAGGTGGTGAGAATGCTTTGAACAGCATGCAGCTCTGGCAGGCTGTGTCTGCAGAGCGGTCATGCCTTCTGCTGCTTGGCGGCTGGAGAACCCCCTGCTGCGTTGCCCTCCTCCTGGCAAGGTGGAATGACGGGAGCTGGCAAGAAGCGTACCTCAAGCAGCCTGCCTTCCTGTCTTCTTCGGCGGAAGCAGCAGCTGCCACCGGGACAGATGTGGAGGCATCATCTTCCTGACAAGAACCGTTGTGAAATGCTCCACACCTGACCGGAAGCATGCTCCTTGGGAAGATCTGCCGGTGCCGTGGCAGAGGTTGTCTCCTCCTGTTGCAGGCTCCGAACGCCGATGATCAGCTGCAAAAAGCGTTTTCCAGGAACCTGCCTTCTGCTTGTCTTGTGCTGTGGCATCCGGAGCAGCTGCGGAGGTGGCATCTTCCTCGCAAGAAGCTTTCTGGAGACTGCTGTAGCAGCCACCTCCTCCTCCTGGCTCTATCACGCGCCTTAGCTGCAGATCCGTCTGCTGTGGTTGGCTGCTCTCCAACGATTCCTTGAGCCTGGCGAAACGTGCTGCCAACTCTTGCCACAGCTACCAGCACCGTCACGCCATGTCAGTCTCGCCTTCTCATCTGCCGATGCTGCAGGTGCTGCCGTCGATGAGGTCACCGAGTCCTGTCACCCATTAGCGGAATCTTTCCGCCGCTAGACTTTGGGGGTGTGTAAGTGTTACGATCGGGTCACGGTGTATCACGGTTGTGACGACATGTGCGGACGGCAGTGCGTGCGGTTGCGTGTGTACTCTTGCGCAAGGCTGGCTTGCAGAACAAGAGTGCCTTCTGCTCCTTGGAAGGATCTGCGGGCACCACGGCAGATGCAGATGCTGCTTCAGCCTAGTGCAGGCTCCGGAATGAGGGCAGGTGCATGCTACATAGCATGGGACACAGCAACCTGCCTTCGTGTCCTCGTGCGCTGTAGGAGCAGACGCCGACACGAGGTCAGTCTTGGAGGCAGCATCTTCCTGACGAGAGTCTTTCTAGACAGTAGCTGCAACGACAACATGCTCTACAAGTAGCAACCCGTTCACTCCAGAAGAGGGTGCCAGATTCCAACAAATCCCAGCGCGAGTGTGCCACAATCAGCAGAGAGCACCTTGGCAACAAAGCTCTCCACCCTGGCCGGCGCTTCAGCAAGCTGCTGAACCTGGGGAGCATGCTGGCCAATGGATGACAGTCAATCATAGTGGCTACACGTGGCTGTTGTGCTAGGGGTGTCAACATCATGCTGCATCCAGGATGACATCTTGCTTTCGTGGCTTAATTCTCCTGTCAAGCTGACTGGCATGTTGTCTGGCCTTCTCTTCAGGCGATGCTGCTGTGGCAGCCATCGATCCAGTCGCAGCTTCTTCCTGTGTGCATCTTGAGAATGAGAACTCCAACTGCGTTAACATGTTCGAGATCTGCATCGTTGCAGCATGTCGGGGATACGACAGGTGGTGAGAACAGCTAGCATTGAACAGCAGGCAGCTCTCATGCGTGGCAGGCTGTGTCTGCAGAGCGGTCATGCCTTCTGCTGCTTGGCGGCTGGAGAACCCCCTGCTGCGTTGCCCTCCTCCTGGCAAGGTGGAATGACGGGAGCTGGCAAGAAGCGTGGCTCAAGCAGCCTGCCTTCCTGTCTTCTTCGGCGGAAGCAGCAGCTGCCACAGGGACAGATGTGGAGGCATCACCTTCCTGACAAGAACCGTTGTGAAATGCTCCACACCTGACCGGAAGCATGCTCCTTGGGAAGATCTGCCGGTGCCGTGGCAGAGGTTGTCTCCTCCTGTTGCAGGCTCCGAGCGCGGATGATCAGCTGCAAAAAGCGTTTTCCAGCAACCTGCCTTCTGCTTGTCTTGTGCTGTGGCATCCGGAGCAGCTGCGGAGGTGGCATCTTCCTCGCAAGAAGCTTTCTGGAGACTGCTGTAGCAGCCACCTCCTCCTCCTGGCTCTATCACGCGCCTTAGCTGCAGATCCGTCTGCTGTGGTTGGCTGCTCTCCAACGATTCCTTGAGCCTGGCGAAACGTGCTGCCAACTCTTGCCACAGCTACCAGCACCGTCACGCCATGTCAGTCTCGCCTTCTCATCTACCGATGCTGCAGGGGCTGCCGTCGATGAGGTCACCGAGTCCTGTCACCCATTAGCGGAATCAATCCACCGCTAGACATTGGGGATGTGTAAGTGTTACGATCGGGTCACGGTGTATCACGGTTGTGACGACATGTGCGGACGGCAGTGCGTGCGGTTGCGTGTGTACTCTTGCGCAAGGCTGGCTTGCAGAACAAGAGTGCCTTCTGCTCCTTGGAAGGATCTGCGGGCACCACGGCAGATGCAGATGCTGCTTCAGCCTAGTGCAGGCTCCGGAATGAGGGCAGGTGCATGCTACATAGCATGGGACACAGCAACCTGCCTTCGTGTCCTCGTGCGCTGTAGGAGCAGACGCCGACACGAGGCCAGTCGTGGAGGCAGCATCTTCCTGACGAGATTCTTTCGAGACAGCAGCTGCAACGACAGCATGCTCTAGCAACCCGTTCACTCCAGAAGAGGGTGCCAGATTCCAACAAATCCCAGCGCGATTGTGCCACAATCAGCAGAGAGCACCTTGGAAACAAAGCTCTCCACCCTGGCCGGCGCTTCAGCAAGCTGCTGAACCTGGGGAGCATGCTGGCCAATGGATGACAGTCAATCATAGTCGCTACACGTGGCTGGTGTGCTAGGGGTGTCAACATCATGCTGCATCCAGGATGACATCTTGCTTTCGTGGCTTAATTCTCCTGTCAAGCTGACTAGCATGTTGTCTGGCCTTCTCTTCAGGCGATGCTGCTGCGGCAGCCATCGATCCAGTCGCAGCTTCTTCCTGTGTGCATCTAGCTTTGAACATCATGCAGCTCTCATGCGTGGCAGGCTGTGTCTGCAGAGCGGTCATGCCTTCTGCTGCTTGGCGGCTGGAGAACCCCCTGCTGCGTTGCCCTCCTCCTGGCAAGGTAGAATGACGGGAGCTGGCAAGAAGCGTACCTCAAGCAGCCTGCCTTCCTGTCTTCTTCGACGGAAGCAGCAGCTGCCACCGGGACAGATGTGGAGGCATCATCTTCCTGACAAGAACCGTTGTGAAATGCTCCACACCTGACCGGAAGCATGCTCCTTGGGAAGATCTGCCGGTGCCGTGGCAGAGGTTGTCTCCTCCTGTTGCAGGCTCCGAACGCGGATGATCAGCTGCAAAAGGCGTTTTCCAGGAACCTGCCTTCTGCTTGTCTTGTGCTGTGGCATCCGGAGCAGCTGTGGAGGTGGCATCTGCCTCGCAAGAAGCTTTCTGGAGACTGCTGTAGCAGCCACCTCCTCCTCCTGGCTCTATCACGCGCCTTAGCTGCAGATCCGTCTGCTGTGGTTGGCTGCTCTCCAACGATTCCTTGAGCCTGGCGGCACGTGCTGCCAACTCTCGCCACAGCTACCAGCACCGTCACGCCATGTCAGTCTCACCTTCTCATCTACCGATGCTGCAGGGGCTGCCGTCGATGAGGTCACCGAGTCCTGTCACCCATTAGCGGAATCTTTCCGCCGCTAGACTTTGCGGGTGTGTAAGTGTTACGATCGGGTCACGGTGTATCACGGTTGTGACGACATGTGCGGACGGCAGTGCGTGTGGTTGCATGTGTACCCTTGCGCAAAGCTGGCTTTGCAGAACAAGAGTGCCTTCTGCTCCTTGGAAGGATCTGCCGGCACCACGGCAGATGCAGATGCTGCTTCAGCCTAGTGCAGGCTCCGGAATGAGGGCAGGTGCATGCTACATAGCATGGGACACAGCAACCTGCCTTCGTGTCCTCGTGCGCTGTAGGAGCAGACGCCGACACGAGGCCAGTCGTGGAGGCAGCATCTTCCTGACGAGATTCTTTCGAGACAGCAGCTGCAACGACAACCTTCTCTAGCAACCCGTTCACTCCAGAAGAGGGTGCCAGATTCCAACAAATCCCAGCGCGATTGTGCCACAATCAGCAGAGAGCACCTTGGAAACAAAGCTCTCCACCCTGGCCGGCGCTTCAGCAAGCTGCTGAACCTGGGGAGCATGCTGGCCAATGGATGACAGTCAATCATAGTGGCTACACGTGGCTGGTGTGCTAGGGGTGTCAACATCATGCTGCATCCAGGATGACATCTTGCTTTCGTGGCTTAATTCTCCTGTCAAGCTGACTAGCATGTTGTCTGGCCTTCTCTTCAGGCGATGCTGCTGCGGCAGCCATCGATCCAGTCGCAGCTTCTTCCTGTGTGCATCTAGCTTTGAACATCATGCAGCTCTCATGCGTGGCAGGCTGTGTCTGCAGAGCGGTCATGCCTTCTGCTGCTTGGCGGCTGGAGAACCCCCTGCTGCGTTGCCCTCCTCCTGGCAAGGTAGAATGACGGGAGCTGGCAAGAAGCGTACCTCAAGCAGCCTGCCTTCCTGTCTTCTTCGGCGGAAGCAGCAGCTGCCACAGGGACAGATGTGGAGGCATCACCTTCCTGACCAGAACCGTTGTGAAATGCTCCGCACCTGACCGGAAGCATGCTCCTTGGGAAGATCTGCCGGTGCCGTGGCAGAGGTTGTCTCCTCCTGTTGCAGGCTCCGGGCGCGGATGATCAGCTGCAAAAAGCACTTTCCAGGAACCTGCCTTCTGCTTGTCTTGTGCTGTGGCATCCGGAGCAGCTGCGGAGGTGGCATCTTCCTCGCAAGAAGCTTTCTGGAGACTGCTGTAGCAGCCACCTCCTCCTGGCTCTATCACGCGCCTTAGCTGCAGATCCGTCTGCTGTGGTTGGCTGCTCTCCAACGATTCCTTGAGCCTGGCGGAACGTGCTGCCAACTCTCGCCACAGCTACCAGCACCGTCACGCCATGTCAGTCTCACCTTCTCATCTACCGATGCTGCAGGGGCTGCCGTCGATGAGGTCACCGAGTCCTGTCACCCATTAGCGGAATCTTTCCGCCGCTAGACTTTGGGGGTGTGTAAGTGTTACGATCGGGTCACGGTGTATCACGGTTGTGACGACATGTGCGGACGGCAGTGCGTGTGGTTGCGTGTGTACTCTTGCGCAAAGCTGGCTTTGCAGAACAAGAGTGCCTTCTGCTCCTTGGAAGGATCTGCGGGCACCACAACAGATGCAGATGCTGCTTCAGCCTAGTGCAGGCTCCGGAATGAGGGCAGGTGCATGCTGCATAGCATGGGACACAGCAACCTGCCTTCCTGTCCTCGTGCGCTGTAGGAGCAGACGCCGACACGAGGCCAGTCGTGGACGCAGCATCTTCCTGACGAGATTCTTTCGAGACGGTAGCTGCAACGACAACATGCTCTAGCAATCCGTTCCCTCCAGAAGAGGGTGCCAGATTCTAACAAATCCCAGAGCGATTGTGCCACAATCAGCAGAGAGCACCTTGGCAACAAGGCTCTCCACACTGGCCGGCGCTTCAGCAAGCTGCTGAACCTGGGGAGCATGCTGACCAATGGATGACAGTCAATCATAGTGGCTACACGTGGCTGTTGTGCTAGGGGTGTCAACATCATGCCGCATCCAGGATGACATCTCGCTTTCGTGGCTTAATTCTCCTGTCAAGCTGACTGGCATGTTGTCTGGCCTTCTCTTCAGGCGATGCTGCTGCGGCAGCCATCGATCCAGTCGCAGCTTCTTCCTGTGTGCATCTTGAGAATGAGAACTCCAACTGCGTTAACATATTCGAGATCTGCATCGTTGCAGCATGTCGGGGATACGACAGGTGGTGAGAACAGCTAGCTTTGAACAGCAGGCAGCTCTCATGCGTGGCAGGCTGTGTCTGCAGAGCGGTCATGCCTTCTGCTGCTTGGCGGCTGGAGAACCCCCTGCTGCGTTGCCCTCCTCCTGGCAAGGTAGAATGACGGGAGCTGGCAAGAAGCGTGGCTCAAGCAGCCTGCCTTCCTGTCTTCTTCGGCGGAAGCAGCAGCTGCCACAGGGACAGATGTGGAGGCATCATCTTCCTGACAAGAACCGTTGTGAAATGCTCCACACCTGACCGGAAGCATGCTCCTTGGGAAGATCTGCCGGTGCCGTGGCAGAGGTTGTCTCCTCCTGTTGCAGGCTCCGAGCGCGGATGATCAGCTGCAAAAAGCGCTTTCCAGGAACCTGCCTTCTGCTTGTCTTGTGCTGTGGCATCCGGAGCAGCTGTGGAGGTGGCATCTGCCTCGCAAGAAGCTTTCTGGAGACTGCTGTAGCAGCCACCTCCTCCTGGCTCTATCACGCGCCTTAGCTGCAGATCCGTCTGCTGTGGTTGGCTGCTCTCCAACGATTCCTTGAGCCTGGCGGAACGTGCTGCCAACTCTCGCCACAGCTACCAGCACCGTCACGCCATGTCAGTCTCACCTTCTCATCTACCGATGCTGCAGGGGCTGCCGTCGATGAGGTCACCGAGTCCTGTCACCCATTAGCGGAATCCTTCCGCCGCTAGACTTTGGGGGTTTGTAAGTGTTACGATCGGGTCACGGTGTATCACGGTTGTGACGACATGTGCGGACGGCAGTGCGTGTGGTTGCGTGTGTACTCTTGCGCAAAGCTGGCTTTGCAGAACAAGAGTGCCTTCTGCTCCTTGGAAGGATCTGCGGGCACCACAACAGATGCAGATGCTGCTTCAGCCTAGTGCAGGCTCCGGAATGAGGGCAGGTGCATGCTGCATAGCATGGGACACAGCAACCTGCCTTCCTGTCCTCGTGCGCCGCAGGAGCAGACGCCGCAACGAGGCTAGTCGTGGAGGCAGCATCTTCCTGACGAGATTCTTTCTAGACAGTAGCTGCAACGACAACATGCTCTAGCAAACCGTTCCCTCCAGAAGAGGGTGCCAGATTCCAACACATCCCAGCGCGATTGTGCTCCAATCAGATGCTGCTTCTCCATCTTCTCCCTGTTGCAGGATCCGAAATGCAGAGGCAACCTGCCTTCGTGGCGTCTTGCGCCGCAGGAGCAGAAAATGAAACAGGGCCAGCTGTGGGAGCAGCGTCTTCCTGACGACGGTCTGTTGGGACTCAAGCACAACTACGCCGCATCAGCTGCATGCGCCTTGGCCGCAAAGCTCTCTTCCCTGATTGGCTGCTCTGCGGCAAGCTGCTGAACCTCTCGGTGGCGCAGGCTGGATAGTTGGCGTCAAGATGCTGCATGCATGCTGATGTCTCGCTTGCGGGTCTGACTACAACGTCTTCCGTTGCTTCTTGTGTCCAACTTGAGAACTCTGGCTGATGCAGCTCTACATGTTGAAAACAACAAGCTGTGTCTGTCCCAGCGCTGCCTGTGCCGCAGAAACAGCGGCAGTCGCGCCTTCCTGGCAAAACAAAGTCGCATTCGGTGCTCATGCCTCACCACTGACCGAAAGCAGGCTCCTGGGCAAGATGTGCAGGCGACGTCGCAAAGGTTGTCTCAACCTGGGTCGGTCCCCGAAATGCGCTGGAGAGGGCGGATGGCCGGCGGGTATAGCTTCGTAGCTCAAGAACCTGCCTTCTGCTTGTCTTGTGCCGCCGAATCCGGAGCAGCTGTGGAGGTGGCATCTTCCTGACCATAGAGTCTTAGTTTGCACACCAGCAGCCATCCGCATGCTGCATGTCCAACCAATGGCGCGCACCTTAGACCCAGAACGATCTGCCCCAGCGGATGACGTCACTGCATGCTCCCGTCACCAACTTCGGGAGTGCCGCGAAGACATCACGGTTGAAAGGTTGCGAACAAGACGTACGTGTCGTGGCAGCCCAAGTGTGCTCAGCTAGCTTTGAAGAAGTTGTAACGTCGTGCATAGCGGGATGTGTCTGCAGAAAGGCCTTTTGCTGCACGGCAAGAGCTGCAGGCGGTGCGGGGGACACTGCCTGCAGGCATCGCAGACTGTTGCAGGCTCCGGTTTGTGTAGAAGCGTAGTATGCTTGCAACACACACACACACAGTCCAAGCGGAAGCGGCCTGCCTTCGTTTTGTCTTGGACTCGAGGAGCTACCAAAGGGCCAGCCTCGCCAGCCTCTGCCTGGCAAGGAGTGCGTCGAGACAGCTCAGTAGCTCGTTCCGGACCTACACGTCCGGTGAGCTGGTAGGTCTGACGGAGTACTGTAGCAAGCAGGACTCCATTGCGACTGCGCATCAATCGTGCACCTTTGTGAAGCTCTCTGCCCTGGCCGGCTGAACCTGGCGGTGACACATCTCGCTTGCGGGTCTCGCTTGTCCACAGAAGCTGACTGCAACATAGTCTCGCCTTCCCTTCGGTCGACGCCTTTGGTGCAGACAGTGCAGACATTGATGGCATCACTGCCGTCGCAGCTTCTTCCTGCCCCCAACTTCGTTGGTGCGAAATCTTGCGGCTTCGAGGCTGCTGTTTAAAGCAAGCTCGCTCCTGCCATCAAAGCCCAATGAACAGGTACAAGTATCGATTGGTCATTGTGCCCGCGCTACCGGCGTGAACATGCACCTCCCTTCATTCTAGAGCCACGACTTTGGTCAGTTCAACCTTGGCATCTGCAGGCACCACGACAGTCGCTGCTTCAGCCTGTTGCAGGGCTCCGAGGTGCTGAGGGATGATGGGTGAGCCGCAAATAGAGGCAGGCGGCAAGAATCTGCTTGCTTCCGTTTCTATAGACACATGACCATGTGATGCAGAAGCATCTCCCTCAATTGTTTATCTAGCAAGCGAACGCCTGTGCCATATGATGTTGGAAAGAAGTATTCGTGCTCAATTCTGCCCCATCTACTGCCCACGCCTTTGTACCAAAAAAATCCGATCCAGCAGCAACAGCAAGTTGTCGAACATCGCCACGGGCCTGCAAAGCAATGGTTCATGGTGGCTCATCTCTTGCTTTTGGGTCCCACTTCTCTCTTGTCTGACTGCACTGGTGTCTCACCTGTTGGTTGGTCAACGTCGCTGATGATGTCAGAGCTTCTGCCTAGCATCAACTTGAAAACTCGACGGCTAAGCATCCCAGTGCAGATCACAACCGAGCTCAACTGTGCCGAAGAGCGCGATCAGCTAGCTTTGAACATGCAGCTCCACGCGGGGCAGTGCACTATGCAACTGCCAGAGACAATGCCGTGGGTCAACAACAAATCGCAGAATGAGACGAAGACCTCGACCTGTTCGGCGGGTCTGGGCCTGCTCTGGAAGCTTTCCGTCTGTCACGCTGGCGTCCTCTGAATGAGAAGCTGCATTTGAAAAGAACACTAGCAATGCACGATTATCACGACGAAGTAGGCCAAACTTGCATCGAAGTTCAGGCTCATCAGCCTGGCCTCACAAAGTGCAGGATCGCTGCTGGTGTGCATAGCTCCTGTCACAGATATTCACAGCTTCTGCACACGCGGAAGGCTCGCTCCGATGTTAAGCCCTGCAAGCGACCTCGAGCTGACCAGCGACGAGCCTGGACAAGGGCTCTACACCGCCCTCCAGAGCTGAAGGAGCTTTTGAAGCGAACGCAAGCGTGAAGCCGGGCCGTACAGCCCGAACACCTGTGTCTTATGCCCCGCGACTTAGTGTGCTGCGGCATCTGAGCGGCCGCGCGGCTCACCTGTCTCAGACCAGGCTGCATACTCATAGCTCTCGCTCAGAGAGGGAGTGGGGCTGGGGGTGCGGCTTTCAACTGCGCGAGAAACCAAGGTTGGGCAGCAGAAGTTGGAGCTTCGGGGCTTGCGAAATTTGGGATCAAGGCTCAGTCAAAAATTTCAAGCGCCTTCACTGTGTTGTGGTTGCAAGCACCGGACCGGATTTGTGGCGATCCAGCCTTGGGGTGTGGACGCGACCGGTGACCTTGGCGTCCTCGGCGTGGCAGTTCTTGTCGTGCTTCTGGATGTGCTGCCGTCTCGCGGGCTGCTATCCTGCCAGGGGCGGGACGCAGCCGCTAGATAACCAGTGTTTTGCCGCTTGGATTGTTGAATGTTTCTTTGCGAGTTGCAGCCCGTCCAGCAATGGCAATCGTGTAAGGTGCTCCAGGCCGTCGTCCTGTCATGGCTTCTAGAATCTATCATTCTGCAAAGAGTTACTGCACGTCACAGCTCTTGATCAACAAGGTATCGATATCCGCCCAACAGGGCTAACCTGCCGCTGCTTTGCACCACCAGGGTCCCTGCCAGTGGATGAGAGTATGGGGCCTTGCACCCTACTATGCCTGCAGTACTTGGAGAATCTGTTGGACTTGTTTCGGCAGTCACGAGTGCAAATCCTGCGCAGTTACAATGCCTTAGGTGGGGCGCGGCAGGCCAAATGCAAAAACGAAACTGGTGTCCCTCTGCTGCCAAGGGGCAACGAAACCTTCGAGGGAGAGCTCTCCTCCCAGAAACACAACATCTTGCTCAGAGGCAGTGAAGGACCGCTGGCCTCCCCCGATTGCCAGGTCAATGCCTGCGAGCACGAAAGCGCCGTTCTCAGCTCCGTGACTTTTCAGTCCCCGCCTGCAGCAGTAGCTCGTTGACGGCATCAAAAGCCCCCGGCCCTCGAAGGAGCCTGCGGAATTCGGGATGCTTTTTCTAGATTGCACGGACACCGATGGTGCACGCAGGGCTTTACACTTGCCTCGGCCGCTCCGCAATTTTTCAACCAAGCTAGGCAGCAGTGGCATGGAAACCTCGCACCTGATTGACACTGGTCGCCGTCGAAGCAAGCAAGATAAGTCCTCATCAGGCTTTTGCGAGTAACTGTCAAGTCTCATGGTCGCGTCTTCAACAAATGTTCTTGAACGACGAGGGTGTTACGCAGCAGGTGTAAGCGGCTGTCCTACGGAGCGAATCCCCCAACACACTTCGTTGTTTCACAAGCGACAACTATCTCGAGCAGTTCGCTTGACGCTTCATTCGCATTGATGCGCGACAACGATCCAGCAATCCGGAGACGACTTTGCGATCCCACCTTCAACACCTAGGCAATGCAGTCTTTAAAGCTAGGCCTTGAGGCGCGAAGGCTCAACCCCGAAGAACAGAGAAAGACACCGAAACGACCACGGTTCCCGTGACGTGACCCGACGGCCTCTGGACTCAGCAAGGCGGCCTGCACAAACTCGCTTCACTGGAGCGGGAGCTCGGAGCAACTGTCGTACTTCTAGTAACTTGTAACCGATTTACTGCATTGTATTACTACAAGTACTTCCATCGTTGCAGCTGTCATTTCAGTCATTTTTCGACGACCCTCTGTCAAACGCACGTTTTCGTTCTTGGATCTCAGGCAGCATACGCCTTCCGTATACCATGGTCGTCAGCAGGTACTTGCAGCATCTCGCAGCGATTCAATTCTCAAGGGCTGAGTTCTTAAGTCTGTTGCACACCAAATCCCCTGCCGCAAAACCCTTGCACGTTGCCCTGTTTATGAATCACTGCATGTTGTCCCTGCCGCCCGCCCTTCTGCGGACCGTTTTGCGAGCGACCCCTTCCGCAAGAGCAACAACCCCTCTTGACGGCTTACATGTTCGTTCTTCTGCGCCCTTCTGCGGAGCTGTCGCCTTCTGCAGCACTTCTGCACGCAGTCCCAGAATGTCCCAGAGAAGCAGAAGCATTGATGATGTCCAAATCCAATCAAAGTTTCGTGTACACGTGTATAGACTTACATCAAGAGAGGGCAGTGTTGCCCTTATCAAGTGCTGCTGGTGCCTACTTTGCTCTCCGCTCAATGTTGCTCCAGTAGAACAGGTGCAGTTGTGGAGACGTCTTGCCTGGGACCACCCGACATTTTGAGCCTTACGATAAAAAGAGTGAGTGCATGCCCTTCTTCCAGTGCAGTTCCACAGTTCCGGCAGGCTTGTGCATGTCAATGTGCTTGCAAGCGACCTGACACCTAGAAGCGCCGCGCTCATGACCGTTAATGGAAGATTTGCGAATCGCCGGGATCGGCTCAAAGGTCTGGAAGGTGGAAGCACAGCGACGAAGCCTCATCCGCCTACTCTGTAACAGAATTTTGGGTTTGTGCCCGTCGACCCGATCACTCCGAGGACAACGACAGCTTCCATACAAACATAAGAGTCATAAGAGAAGGAGCGTTAGTTCAATTAGTTTCTTGTACTCCTGCTCATGGCAATGCCTGTACTATCACCTTTCAGTTTCTCGTGCGACTCCTCCGACCCTTGCGTTTCATCTATTGCGTTCTTCTTAATCTCCTGTTGGGAATTCCAGCATTCACGTGCCGAAGCGCATTTTCCTTTCACGACAGATCGTTTCTCACTCGCCCTTTTCGGTTTCGCAAGCTTTGCAAACTGCAAACCGTGCGGGAGCCTGCATGTCATTAACCATGAGCAGAATGTCTCCCTTAGGAGCCGTCGGGCTGTGTCAAAACATCAATAGACTCAATAGACGTGCTGCAACTCAATTAGCGTCCTGAGATAAAGGCAACCTGAGCGCCAACCCTGCTGGCTGGACTGCCTGGCACCTTCAATGCGGACACTGCTTCTGCGACATGTTCGAAAGATTTCGAATGACTTCAAAGGACAGGTCCGACACTGGTTGCAATCCTCCCGTTTCTGCAGTCGAGATGCCACAGCTCCGAGCTGCACTGGCCCTGGAGGCCAGGTCTCCGGAATGAGACCCAAAGTGGCCTGCGAGGGGGCGGAGGGCGGGGTTTAAGTTTGAGGGTGTCACCTCTGTTGCGACTTCTCGGTTCCGCTTTTGCTTTGATGAGCACTTGTGCTCTGCCTGTGCCCAGCCTGATTTGGGCCGAAGACCAGGTCCACGGTCTTCAGCTGGCCCAGAAGCGGCCTCGAGGCTCCCCCGGCACCTCAACGCCGTGTTCTTCGAAACAATCATGTAACATCATGCATAACTCTTCAACTGCACGAGGCCTCGAACATCATCCGTGCGCTGGAAAGTAAGGAGCGTCGGCCTTCAATGGCGTCATGCGTCCGAAAGCATTGTCGCCACAACTTCCCAGCCGGTGCACACCACGCCTCTTCCGCAACTCACGAGCCAAGTCCTGCTGCGAGACGCAAGAGCGAGGAGCCTATCAGCCTGTCGTTGACGCCATTGACGCCTTTGCTGTGCCCGTCCTCCGCCTCGAAGGACCGCACGAGGCGGCCGTTGACCCCACAGAGCTCATCTCCCGCCTGCACGCCGTGACGAGCCGCCTTTGCAAGGCGTGAACCGGCAAAGAACGAAACGAGCCCATGAGACTGTCAGAACCGGGGCACGAGGCTGCCGGGAACCGCTGCAGCCAAGAAGACCGCTTGGGGCGGCCACGTCTCCGGAACCAGGCCTCAGTTGCCCGCCCGGTGAACGCGGTGAGAGCTCTACAAGTCCCTTTGGGAGCGGGCCCAGTACCTCGTCCGTCGCAGAGGCCTCCACCTTCCCACCAATTTCCAAGGCCCTGTACGTTAATCGGACAGCTGTACAATCACCCGCTGGCAACAAGCCAGTCAAATGAACCGAACTTCAAGCCCGGCATCAAGGACATGAACAGCGTAGACACAGGCTCCATGGTGCACAGTCTGTGGCCGAAGAGTTTCGCAGTTCGTGCGGCTTACAGCGTGCGTTGGCAACCTTCAAGCCTGGAAGCGGACCACGCCGACGCTTGGCGCTCGGGGCGAAGCCGGTGTACTACGACCATGGATCGCATCTGAAAGTTCTCTTGGTGCTGAGGTCGAGGGCAAGCAGTGACATTCTGGAGTGACACGTGAAATGATGAGGCCCCTCGTGCCGGTGGGCAAGTGCAAGGGTACCACTGGTACTTTAAGGCAGCTAAGGACAGGAGCCTAAATGCAAATCTCTGTAGAGCAGGCTGCTGCAAGCGCAAGCACAAGAACAGTTAAAAGCTGGCGTCAAGATTTCATCCTTCGTACTCTGCACCCTCTCCTGGGCTTGCGAAATCGCAGATGCAGTGGCCGGATCTGAAGGACGGATACAAGGTCCTTGCGATGAAGGATCGACGATGTGGCTCAGATGGGCCGTCAGATTTGCAAGCACTGCCACGCCTGACGGGACAACGCGTCGACGGTGGCTCCATTCACTGTGAGGAGGATGCTTCCGGTCTGCACCTGAAACATGTAGATCATGTAGTCCCAGTGACAGAGCAGCACATGAAACAGCATAGTGCGACACAGAACCGGAACCGTCTTTCTGAGAGTCGCGCAGTTTGAATGGTGAGTGGTGCATCGGGGTGCACTGCATCCACACACATAGGCCTGCAGGGCTACCGTACCAGGCCTTGCAGGCGTTCTATGCCCCTGTAGATCCTGCTGAAGCAACAGACTCAATAGACAGGTAGATACACAGGTGATGCAGCTCCAAATCTATACCACTAGCCGGCCGACATGCTTCGGTGCTGTGTGTAGCATGTGGTGTTGAGGCTGTCTGAGGCTGGAATCAAGCTGCCTGCCGGAAGACAGCGCCAATCCCACAGGCCCTGGGGAGGCCACCGTCACCTGCATTGCATCGGCATCCCAACAGTGGCTTGCTGTTCGAAAGCCGAGCTGGCACTCAGAAAGGGGCCTCGAACTCGAGAGGGTCGAGCGTGCCAGCCATTTTGCAAGAGGGGCATTGCACAGGTTTTCTCTATAATTCTGGCTGTTCGTGGTGCAAAGGCACATCTTTCAGATTGGATGGATGCCAGCGAAAGTGCGAAAGTCTTTCTTTCACTTGCAACAACAAACTATGGAATGAATCTTGCGGGAGCACGGGAAAGAGTCGCGATCGAGCCGCTTCATGAACAGCTTTGAATGCTCACTCTCACGCCTTCTCACTCACACATATCCCAAGAACCTACCGAGCATCCTCTACAAGCAGGTCATAAGACGTCATAAGCAGGCCCAGCACTTAATGTCCGCGGACCGTGCCACGACTTACAATAACAGATCGGGCCCCCTTATGCTTCCGTCTCGTCAGCCTTTTTCTGTTCCAAAAGGAGCGGACAGCGCTTCAGTCTGTTACACATCAGATTGCAGATGGCCACTGCGCTTCCCTCGAGAATTCAAGAGGCACAAAGCAAGAGACAGGGCACCCTGCCATCAGACCAAGCTCATGGTGTGAAGCTGCAAGTGCTGACGTAGTGGAGTGCAAGATGGCAGGACACTCCGGGCCGAAATCTTTCCATGGCAAGACTTTCAAACAATCTCGCCAAACAGCAAGGATGATTCCAGCTGTGTCACATTTCAGCGCATTGGGACTGGGCCTCTTCCAATTAGACTTGTCACTTGTCAAACTGACATGAAACTCTGAAAGTACCGGTAACCCCGTCCCACACAAGCTCTCTCCTGCACTTCGGTACGACTGTCAATCTTCGGAGACACTTGGCTACGGCAACGGTAGACAAGGTTGCCAGCTCACATTCCCCCAATGAAGCGGGCAAGTCTGGCTTGGGCGCCGAAGATCCTGCTGAAATCCTCCTGTTTCGCAACAGCTGTATGATCACTAAGGACAGCCGGGGTGCCCGTGCTGGAGTCGGTGAGATCTGCAGGTCGAGCCACAAGCGATTGCATTGGTTTCTGATGCTCTCTTCACAGTGTGTCTGGAAACAAAAACAGAAGCGACTGTCGTCGGAGCGGATGCTGCCCAGGCATCGCAGCAGCTCCCTTTAGCAACATCCGAAAACCAAATTCCCGCAGACTTCGCGGTTTTGCTGTCCTGGTGCAACTCCTTGCGCAATTCCATGACGACCTGCTGGAGCTTTGCCGTGCAGAGAACCCCACAACCCTGCTCGCTTCATCTCGCTCTCTCCCTCCGCCGGCCAGTCTGACCTTCCTACCGGGAGGCACTCGGATCCCTCCAACGAGGTGAATCAGTGCATCTTCTTTGAAGAGTTCGACCCGTTCGGACCCACACGAGCCTCTGTCTCCGTCTTGGAAGTGCCTTTCTTCTCCCGTACGACTTCCAGCTCCTCACTGCCAGCTATAACTACCAGTACAGTGTCACAGCAGGTTCTGACTCAAACTGAGGATAGACTTCCGGCAGTGTCCTGACTCAATCGCTCGAAAGCTTCGCCGATTCTCGTGGCACGTTGGAGGTGTTCCTGCAAGTGGAATCTGGTGAACACTGAGTCAGTCTGCACGAGCTCGCCTGTCAACAAGACCACCTGATTCACCGATTCACCGCTCGTATGTTCTTGTTTGAACATTGCCCTGTCGAACGAACTGTATCTTTGCCTGGGCTGGTCTCTCCAGAGCGTGGCAACAAGGTAACATCTGAGTCTGACTCTAAGTCACTTGAGAGCCACGGGCTGGGACGAAAGCTCTAGTAGGGGTAGGACGGCGACACGGAGCTTACAGGAATAGAGAGGCCCTAGCGAAGCTCGTGGCAGCAACTGCGGAGCCAATCGAGCCGAAAAAAACAAAAGGCGGGTCCAGGCCCGTCGAGGCAAGTAACGACACTTACAAATGTCTGATCTCAGCCCGGAAGATGCAGAAAGCAAACAGACAGACACCTTGGCTAACCATAAACGGACAAACATGTTGCAGCATGCCCAGCGCAGTACTTCCAGTAGTTCTGTTCCTGTCGCACATGACACGATACGGCCAGCATCAGCAGCATCAGTAGTTTCGTTCTTGCCGCACATGACACGATACGGTGAGCATCAGCAGCATCAGGAAGCACACCCAGGCCAGCATCAGCAGCATCAGAGGAGCCCCACTTCTCCTGCGAACATCTCCAAAATCCACTTACCAAACAAACCCAAATGTGGCCCAAAACAGGCCCCCTTGGCAACGACGGTTTTCCCAGCTCCAGACGGTGGATAGCCGAAAAAACAACGAAAAAAAGCCACCCCCCCCCCCCCCCCCCGCACCCCCCCCGATAACCCCAAGCTGAGGTATTGAACGAAGCTCCCACACGGGGAGCTTTCGTGACATGCAGTCTGTTCGTGATTCCGGTGTCCTTAGCTTCGCTGATCTCGCCGGCCTGTGCAGGCACCAAATTCGTGGATCTACGTGCATGATTTTGCTGGCCAGGCCTCCATGAGCATGAAGGCTTTGCGTGTGAGTTCATCCTTGGAGCACTCTGGGTAAGAGGTGTGTGCGAAATGCAACACACATCGATGGTCGCAGGAGTCTGGGCATGTAACGATCATATCAGCACGCTGGACCGACGTCATCTCGACCAGCTCTGAAAGAAAGGCCTGGACGCAAGGCCGGAAGCGTACAGCAACCGTGAAGAAGCCCTGCTATGCCATCTGCCTCGTCCATCCCATTGACTTCCGCTGCCACCTGTTTGCGCTTGCTCAGGTAACCCAGCGACATACTCAGATCACATACTACACGCGAAAACGTGAATCTTGCGCGGATATCGCTTAAATGCTTAAACTGAATTGGATCTCGTGGTGCCAGCCTCGCTGATGAGCTCCTTTGGATCTTTCGTCTCGTCTTCCTTCTGGTCCGCGTTACGCACAACCCAGCGCTCCTGGCCACAGTCTTGCTTTCAATTGCAATTTCCAACAATGGTCGCGGTCATCAGTGAAAGCGGATGGCGGTGGGTGATTCCGGTGTGACTTGCTCCGCCTACACACTGGCTCAGCAGCTGTGTCCTTGACACGCTCGCGGCCAGTCTTCACAGTGATTCTCGAAAGGCGGCTCAAGTCTTCACCTACCTCAGAGAGCAGCAGAGTGTGGTGCTCTATTTCCTGTTGGAAACAAGCTCAACGATCATGTTCATGGCTATGTTTGTGGTACGTGCATACAGTATGGTGTGTTTGCATGCAAGCTTGTATCTCTGTCATTGCATTAAACTGGGTGGGAAGGGACAAGGGGGAAGGCCGATCCCAGATCATACCTCTGTGGCACCGAAATTCACAGTTACTGTAGTTGCGACCGCGATCACAACTTCTTCGTACAGCAGCAGACGGACCGCATCGCAGCATGGCTGACGGTCCAACGAAGAGGGGGCTGTTTACTGATTTGGATGGAGGACGCTGCTCACATACCCGCTGAACATCTTCCGAGAGTCGAATGTGTGTGTGTGCGCGTGTGCGGGCGTTCTTCTTCTGCGCGTCTGCGTGTGATGGTAGCGATGATGCTGACAGTAACAGCAAGGACTGCATAAGTATAATCTGGTCACGAAGGTGCTGGCGAGAGGCTGATCGCGAATTTGACGGATTATGATGATCACGAAGCTGATAATGCAATACATGTGTCTGTCTGTATAGGTATATGTATATGTGTATATATATATATATATATATGAGAGTGCGTGTACAATGTAGGATTTCGATCTTGGCACCTGTGCAGCCGAGTGGGTCTGGATCGAATTTTCTAAATGTCCAAGGCAAGGTCTGCAAAGCCCGAGAGGTCCAGGGGCACTGGGCAGCGACCAAAACGGCTTTTGATGGTTTGTTCTTGGAGCTTGAGAACCCTGTTGCAGAGTCGAGCAGGCCATTGGAGCATTTCGCATGTCAAAGCTCGAGAACTCCGGCGGGTCCGCACATTCCTCAAAACTTTGTGGCCAGGGCCATGCTCGAGCTGAGGGGGGTCGGACAAGGGAGCTGACCAGCTCCAAGAATGCATTGCATCCAGCAGCAGATGGGAACATCACCATTCGTTCGTGACATCGAAAACGAGCGAGAAGGTCTGACTCTCCCACATGTTTGCTCCAGGGCATCATTGTGCGACTGCCAATCTGTGGGGTCAGCACTGGCAATTAAACTTTCGTCTCAACGCATGTAGCAGTTCACTGAAGCTTCCAAGGAGGTGATCTGAGCCCGACATTTAGATGGCGGTGAAAGCCAGCATGTACTTCCAATCCTGTCTCTCGATCTTGACTCTTCTATGGGTTTGCTGACATCCGAGTTGCAAACGGTGAAGCCGCCCGCTTATAGTTGTGCTCCGGCCCACAGCAAATCATGGAGCAAGGGAGTCTTTTCTATGTCCGCGCGGGCCTTGTCGTTGATCCATCAACGGTCGGAAATTCCTCGCTGCCTGCCGGGCCATGACTCCTCAAACATAGTTCGTCCCGTCGCATGAGCCGAGGCTGTAAGCGAAAGCAGCCATCACCCATTCAGACATTGCCCGTTGTTCAGTGAAGGTTTCTTCGATGGTGTCCTGGAATTAGATTCCGCTGGCAGAGACGGCTCCAGGTCCTGACTTCGGCACCAAGTCCACACGCCGGTCCGTGTCAGTTCTTGTGACTGTCGTGGGAGAAGAGGCCGGCTTCGAACTTCGAATGCCACCGCGTTTGACGGTCTCTCCGACGGCTGCAGCGTTCAATCGCCCCTGCTGCAAAAACGAAGCGTCGGCCATTCCCCATACTGCCTTTTTCCCTTTTCCAGGAAGATGGCATGCTTTCAAACTTTCAGGTGATTTGCAGCCCTGTGATTTTCCTCAGCTGCCCCAACGGCTCCAGTACCGGGCTGGTGCCGCTTCGCTTTCCTTAGCACGTGTTGGTGTTAGCCAGCTTTGTTTGTTCTTGCCTCCTTTCCTTCTGTTCTTGCCAGACTTGGATCCACCCTTGCCTTTCCGGTGGTATGGGGCTCGCAAATCCGTGCCCATCCCTTGTCCAGAGAACTCATGGACTTGCTTCGTCCAGAACTTTGCATTTTCTCGAACTTGGAAGTTTCGTGAACGCCTAAATCTGATTTTTAGCCACCATCATCGAGACCCTGCGCCGGATTTTCCATTTTCCATTCTGCGATCATCATGACCGGCACGCATGGAGCCAGGTCTCCGTCCGCGATCTGTTACCCGCAGAAGTACGTCTGAACAATCGCTCATTATGCTTGGGCTTTAGATGTCTTGACGGCAGCAGGCGAGGTGGCATGCCGTCCAGATTTCCATGACCCGTCTATTTTTCAGCGATCTTGTTGGCCTTCTGTTTGTTCCATGTTGGTTCAATGTTGGAACCTCTTTCTGTCCTGCTTCAGAATGGATCTTGCTGACATCCAAGTGTTGGTCCGCGCAAAACCTCCTCCGTAAAGCTCGACGCGGTGTTCTTCCAGTTCAAGCCCCGTCTTGCAGCCTAGGCCTGAGCGTACAAAACCACGAGCCCAATTTCACGCGGGTGCCCCCAGCCTTCGATGGCGTGGAAGTCAAGCCCTTCTGCTCGTCACTTGCGGAACACCCAGAAGTTCTCAATCATATTCTGCAAACGTGGAAGCAGCATGCATGAGTTCGAGTGTGTGCTCGGGTAGCACATGGTTGCCTTTAAAAGGAACAGCTCGCAATGTGTATTCAGGTTTCTTCATTTGCCCAGGGAAATAACATACTCCGGTATCTAGCCGCCTAATGGGCTGATGATTGGCATGCCTGCTTGCACAGTTTGTGTGGCCCAGGTGCATACCAATACATGCTCAGGAATCGGGTTGCTATCCACTCTGAGGCACTCGAACCAGTTGTCCAAAAGCTTTCTTGCAGAGCTTGGAGAGCTCATTTTGCGCTGTCGAGTGGTGTCCAAAGGTGCTGCTTGATTCTATCAAACTGCAAGTCCGTGCTTAAGTTCACGGCTGTGAAGCCTGTCCCCATGTCCAGCAAGGTGATATCCTGCACAGCCCGCTCAGAGACTGAAGAAAACCATTTCAGCTGGACTGATCCACGCTACAGCGTGCCATGCGCTGCCGTTGCAGCGGGGGAACCAGCCTGCGGGTCGTTGCGCTTTCGCTTCCTTGGGAGCTGGGGCGTCTCTCCCGCTCGACGCTGCATCCAGTGGAAAAACGCTTCCCATGCTATCGCGAAGTTCCAGCACCATCAAAATTCTTGCCTCGACAGTGCGAATAACCCCGGATCCTGCTGAAACCTCGTTGCATTGGCTGCCGACCTTCTTTGAGGCGCGTGCGACAAGGCAGGTTCCGACCCTTCCTTCTTCCCGGCCCGTGCTTGAACACGCGAAGTGCGTGTCGAGCGGGTGACCTGCGGAGACAAGGCTTCAGGAGTGGGCATCTGATACTGATACTGATAAAGCATTCAAGATAGTCTTTTTCGCGTGCCACAAGCCCTCGAACTTGCGGTTTGGAATAGCAGCTGCTAGGCTTAGGGTTTGCTCAGTGCTCCGGCCTTGCCTTTGCCATCACGACGGGAGCAGCAGCCAAGGCAAGGCCGAAAGGTCCAAACCTCGGAAAGCATGGGAAAGGCAAGGCAAAAGCCAAGCGATTCAGGCAAGGCAGAGAGGCAGAGAGGCAGAGCAGGGGTGCCAGAGGTGCCCACCATTCGCGCGGAGGGGCTGGAACCTTAGTCTGAGGCGTTGCTGCTTGTTCGTATAGCAAGGTCCAGACTCATGTCTAAAGCATTCTAAGCGCCTTGCCTGTGTCGACGGCGAGTGCAGCAAAACTGGCCTGCTCCGGAGCACTCGGGTCAGGATAGCAGCTTCCGCAGACGGCGCCACTATACGATGGGACGAGGCTATCTGAGCACAGAAACACGGAGAGCGAGCTGTGACACTATTTTCTGCCTCTTTTGCATTCAGACTCGTTCGACCGCGAGCGGAACCGAACAAACCGAGTTCAACTTCAAGAACGATCACAGGCGGGCCCGCGGGCAGCAGGAGAGACGAAGGCGAGGCTGGCCATTGCGCTTTCAGGACCGTCGTGCTCCTAGAGGGACGGTAAACACGTTTCCAGGAGGATGCCCTCTGTCATGAACTACATAGCCCTTGGCGTTCGGACCACATCACGGCCTATGCTGAATGGCAGTGAGCGAGAACGGATGCTCCGAGTTTGTCTGCAGAGCACTGCAAGCGCTAGCCGCCGCTAGCCAGTATCAGTGCCGGCAAACCTGTGCAAACGTAGCCGCGAGCTTGGACCTTGCTTCAACGTTTTCCATGCGCATATCAGCTGAATTTGTACTTCGGGTTCCTGCCGGAGCCACGCAGCCTTTGGGCTGCACGGTGCTTTGGGGCCTGGACATGTCCTGGATCCACATCCCCGCAAACACTCTACACCCTTCTATGCCTCACTTCGTGACGAAGAGCCACTCAGGCTTGTCCCAAGAGTGGGCTCGTGGCAGAAACTGCAGTGGCCGGAGCGGGCGCAGGCCGATCTTGCGCCAGAGCCTGGCCACAAGCGTAAAACTGAGACATCTCGGGTTTTCTTCACCGAAGGCTCTTGAACGAGCTGTGGCTAAAACTGTCGGCTCTGCTGCAGGCGAAGGCGCAACGCAACGTGGCTTCTTCCGCTCTCGCGGCTCTTTTTCTCAGAAGGCCAGCAGATCGCAGAGCGGCCCGAACTCGGGGCGCGGAGCCGCCTCCGAGCAGCGGCTGAAGCGAAGCAGAGAGCAGAGAGCAGGGCGGCTGTGCTTAAGGCTTTAAGCAATACTCTGAGGGGGGTTAGGGGCCAGGGCCAGGGGGGGCTTAGGGGGGGGCTTGGCCATCTTTGGCCCTGGGCGTGGGCTCCGGGGCTTCGATATTGTGCCGCACTCCGGAAGCGGCAGTTTGCTGCGAAGTATATACACCGGATTCATGTTGCTTCTTGTCTCCGAATATCACACTACGGTTCGACTGAATGCAGGAATCGATAGCTACTAGCACGAGCTTCCAGGAGACGCTGTTGACGATGTTTTGTATATGGAAACATACCCATCGCACAGGCAGAAATGCTACGAGTCTGAAGATGCTTGTTCTTTCGCTGCCCGCTTTGTTCGCAGAACTCCCCCGCCCCACAAATTGCAGCAGGAGATCTGCTGCATCAGAACTCTCCGCTGGTGCGCATCAGGGTGGATATTGCAAGGTTTTCCTGAAGGCCATACCAGGTTGCATGAACTCCGCCAATGTCAGTAAGCAGAAAGGCAGTTCGGTGTTCATTGAAGAGCAGCTCGATCGGCACCTTGGACATCTGAGCCAGGTTCACCCGCAGTAAATCACGCTGGCTGGTCGGATCCCTATCGTGGGTCCAACTTCCCTTCTGCCACACGTCAGTGGCAAGCTGCCCTCCCGGCAAAAACCGAAAGACTCCCGCGTGGCGAAGTTCTCGCACAGGCTGTCGGTAAACGTAATAGCGCAGGTCCGTGAAGGGGGGTCGCAGTTGTCGAGGCTTCATAGACCTGCAAGCTACTCCTTCTGACAGATTGGTCGTGGTGGGCGACATTGTGTCAGTGTCTCGGTGCCACTTTTGGTACGGCCAGCTGGTCCCATCCCAGCCCAGACCGAGCCATTGGCAGTTCTGCAGTATGCGCCTTGCAGACAAGTCTTTCACAGTCCGCCGAACTCCATCTTCGCTTCCGTAATCATGGAATACCATATGCTTTAGGTTTGAAAGGTGTCGCAGCGAGTTGTACGCGTCTGACCGCACATAGTGGAAGTCGTGATTTGCATCGATAAGGACAACATCCACCTGATTGTTTCGAAAGGTCGTCCAGCTGTCGGTCATGAGATTTGCATGCAATAACACCACATTTGGCCTGTCTGCAGTCGTCTTCGCAGCAACTTTGAGCAACTGCTCGCTGAAGTCGACTGCAATGACCTTCTGAAAAATGTTCGCCCAGACTAGCGTGGTGTATCCTTGGTGGACACCAAGCTCCAGCATCGTCATGTTGAGAGACCCCAGCTTGCAAAAATATTTCGCCATGTGCAACTTGAACAGCCTCGATGAAGTGACTGTATCAATGAACTTTTCGGGAGTCTGCGCAATTGCAACTTCTGCATCCGCGATGCATCGTTCTATTGAACTTGGCGTGGCGCGCGTCGGCACCAGCAACATGCCAGTCAATACCGCAACAACGCCGCAGCACATGGCTTGGAACTGAATCACGACTGTCTTTTACAGTGTTGTTACGTAAGATCCCGCAGTACAATCCTTTGATCTTGCTGTGCGAGCATGCGCTAGGCGAGATGATCAGGAATCTATGATACTTGCACCTACGAGAACCTCTCACACACTAGCCTCATTGTTCCACGTCAATGTTCATTCTGGTCACCAGGCTTGTCCTGAGGCTAAGGGCAGATGGAGGCAGCACCTGCCAGTGTCACCCTGTGCGCATGGAAAGCAAACTCCAGACTGCGCAAACCCGATGTACGCATAAATCTTCAACCTCACCTGGCCGTCTTGGAAATGGCTACGAGATGCTGCGGGTGCAGCCGTACTCCACAGCAAAAAGAAGCAGAAGATTTACCCGCACCACTGTCCGAGTTTTTAAGGCGAGCCCGGTCATCCATGACGAAGATGCCGTTGAGACCGTGAAGGCCGGGAACCGTCACCAGGAGCTGCATCGGAAAGCGATGCCTTCTGGCACAGGGGGATGTCTGACAGCCGACTAGCCTCTGAGCCTGCGCAGCATGCAATCATGCAATCGCGATGCAAGATGATATGAAAGGAATGGAAGGAGCTTTCCGATTTCCTTGCATGTGTTTGTTTGGCGCTCATCGTGGCCACTCCCGAGGCTTGCACCGCGCTCCAGGTTCCAGCTTTGGCAGATGGCGCTCCACGCTGAGCAGCTTTGCGGCACCCATGAGCCGGAGGTCGAAGTGCATCTGAGCCGTGAAGCGGCATCTGCTGTGGCATCTTCAGGTCTGAGGCGGCCTTTGGCTCTAGCTTCTCAGCTGTTCGATTCGTCACCTGCAGAGCAGAGCAGCAGAGCCTACGAACACACGTGGACCTGTGTCGCTCCCAACGCTGCCTCCAGCTGCAATGTGAAAGGGACCTCGACCTTTACTTGGCTGGGGCACTCGACGACCTGCAGGCAGCAGGGCGAGAAGAGTGGTGCTTTGCGGTGCTGACATGCTGCACCCTCGCCAAGCACGAAAAGGCCCTCTACAACTTCAACCAGATTCCAGCACTAGGGCAGCTTGGAGCACTCGGCAACCAAGCGCTAAACTCATAAATCAACCGGAGCTTGCGGCCTGCAGGTCAAGGCTGGGCACCTGCGCTGACAGAATGCATTAAGAGTCTCATATCATGGAAGCGCATTGTGCGAAGTAACTCCTAGTGACCAGCAGGTTCACCCATTAGCAGCTGCGCTGAGAGGTTCGTACGGGCATGAGCACGCAGCCATGCAGCACACATCCACAAGTTTAGAATCGCTGGGCCCAGCTCTAAATCCAGTACAGCCCTGAGGGCAGTCGAAGAGGCTCCGTACCTGCACAGCCTTCATGCGAATCTGGTGGCCCTCCAGGCGCCCTGCGGGCCCGTCCGGTACCTTTCACAGCTTTCCAGTTGTAGACGGCTCTGAATCTGCCGTGGTCCTTTTCAGTGGGGTGCACGCCAGGACATCGCAAGCGAGCCGAGCAGCTCCTGTTCTCTGACGGCCGCCTGACAGACGTCCGGAAACGTGACCGCGGCTCTCCGAATCTCCGCTCGGAGTCGCCGAGGTGCCGAGTCGTTCTGAGCGTCCTCTTCGGGCCATGCGCTGAAAACGAGGACAAAGCAACCGCGCGGCTTCAGGAGCAGCGGCAGCACGCTCCCTGACCAGGCGCCGTTCCGGGACGAAGCATGCAAAGTGGGCGAAGGGGCCGTGGCGGAGGCCTGTGATGGGATCCTTTTCCAGCTCTGTGACGAGCCGACTGTCGAAGCCAGGTGCGCAGTCCAACTGCCAGGATGTCCTTGTTGTGCGAGGGATTTAGGAACATTCCTCTGCAAATGTTGCAAGAACTGAAAGCCCAAGGGGCAAATAGATGCTTCCTTGTGTCGCATTCTCGATGGAGCCTTGGAGTGCTTGCGGTCCGCGGCTCAGCGTCAAGTGCGGAGTCAAGGGAGCACTTGTCAAGTCGGCACAGTGCTCACGTCAGTATGCCCAATGCAGCTTGAGACGAGGAGCACTCCACGAGAAGTTGCCGATCCTGACAGCATGCAACCGAAAACAGCAGGGGCAGAATCAGGCATGCTGGTGGCTCTATAGGTAGCCGTTCACCCAATGATGCAGTGCAGTTACTGACTACCTTCGGACTCCAACCTTTCGATTTCGGCTTCAGCCGATCCCATGCAACGAAGATACACTCACATCATAGTCCACACACTGAAGTTCGGATTCGGTTCCCACGAGTCCATTCCCGTGACGGGGTGGCACCCAACTCGAAACTGATACAATTTCCGCCAGGATTCAATCTGAATGACGCGATGCGAAACCGCAAATGGCTGCAGCGCCGGGAAGCGATAGGCTCGTCTGAATTGTCCCTGAGCAGGGCTGGTCACGGTCAATGCCACGTGTGGAACGGCGGTCGAAATCGAAACTGTCAGCAAAAAGCACCGTTTTGCCTTGTACACTCTTAAACCACACACCGCCCTACCACCCTTACACTTCCAGCTTTCGGCAGCCTTGGAGATGCGAATTCCACAAACAACAGCACACACACACACGGTCTTGTGTTGCCAATCCCCGAAACCTCTTGCTCCAAGGTTAAAGTCCCTCGCAAGCTTAGTCTCGGCCTGCTCGCCCGCACAAGTATACGTGACGAGGCATGCCAAGGCCTGGGCTCACACATCCAAAAACAAAACACAACAGATTGAATATGAGAACCGCTGAGAACACATAGTGACATAGTGCACTTCACCTCATGGTCGAAACTTGGCTTTTGCTGCCGCGATGCCTCTAAGATGCCTCTAACTCTATCTGCCTGAGATTATCTGAGCAACGTATGTGC